AACATGTTGCCTCCAATCATCCAAATATTGTTTTCCCATTTAGACTTGTTCCATAATCTTCTTTTGCCATCTTTTTGAGCATTTAGATAACATATTTCAGAATAATCTGATTTTTAAATTCTGATAATGTTGTTTCCTTCGTAAATTGCTCATCCAACATGATCATAATAATTCTTTTAACACCTAAAAAATTCGACCATATGTAATAATACCACAGAATAATTGGCCTCAAGCATTGATCTTGTGCATAGGCAGCATAGCCAACGTGAGCAGTGACCATTATTAACATTCGGCGTTTTCTTAAGTTACCAATTTGAATCCCCAATATTGTTATAAGAACCTATATAAAGCAAGTGGCTTAAGCCATTTGGCTGCTACCACCTTAGCCCTTAGGTATGAGGAATTCAACTCTATCTTTCTTTCATGTGATATGATGTGGATCAGATACAAGAACATTTTCAGGATTAATATTCATTAGTAAAATAATTTCACTAACAGTCTAATTAAACCGTCTTTGTGATATATTACTTTTATCCACATTACTTTTATTTCGTTAACAAATTTTCTTTTAAAGTAAGATTTCAGAAAGAAGAAAAAAAAGTAACGTAAAATACTTTTGCGGCTTGATCACGTCGGAGGAGCTGCCAAAAGTGTAAAGACTTTGCGTGTTCTTCTCATAATTTAACGAACTCTTCGCATTTCCACGTACGTACGTTGTTTCGTCTACCTACATATTTCTCCAATAAAAAGATATTGACCATTGTAATTTCGCTTTCTATCTTTTATTTTACTTTTCCTGCTTTCTCTTTCACACTACACTATCCGGCTCGTCACTATTTTCGTACGTATTTGTTGCGGCGTAGAACTTTAAGGCTAGCGTAATTTACTTGAAAGATAGATCGATGCGTTGTTATCTAAACCAATGATCTAAGAATATTTATCTAAATATTTTATTAAGCTTGTATGTTGATATCTGATATGATAGTCCCCAGTCAATGCAAGAAAAAAAAACGATAGGTGATCTTAAGGAAACGAACATATATAATATGAAGCCTGTTTCAAAAAAAAACATATATAATATGACCTCAGTCCATACAACAATGGAAATTTACATACGTGAAGAATGGTTTATGTTTTTCATGGAATTACACTCCATTTATGCGCAAATGATAGATTACCAAACTTTTCTGACCAAGAATATCTTCTCAGTCCACGAACTCTCATTTGATTTTTTTTTTTTTTCTTGTTCTTCTCAGTGCCAAGCCATCTTCTTTTAGCATCAATTTGGTGAAACACATATCAGTCCTTGAAATCTGTGAATACCGGACCTAACATTGTTTTTGCAAAAGTGCTACATTAGTGAATGTATACCTACTTTAGCATAATTAGCTGACCTTTGTTCTAATACTACCCACACGGCAATTGATAAGACAAAGGATCTATTTGAAGAATACTATATGAACGTAAATATTCCTTTTTTATTTGGTTTGGAATGAAAATATACCGTTTTTAAACATATAACAACATCTTATCTATACATTTATTTATATCAATGCGTTTTGAATGAATAAAAACAATCATGCAAAACAAATTCACACCAACTAATTTCTTATTCATTCAAAATGTTGCTTTAGGTTCATGCCAAATCCAATAACCATTTGTTTATTCAAAGTATCAATAAACTAATTAAAAAGAAATCAAACAAAACAAAACAAACAAGAAAGGTCTCCTTCGCATACAACACAAACACTATAAATACATTCCATAACCGTTAAAACTCCCACACCACCACCACTACTCCACTCTCTATACATCTAGATCTCTCTCTATCTCTTTATCTCTAAACAAACCGTACGTTAACGACATACAATGGCTTCACTTCTTGTCATCTCCGTCTTCTTTTTCTTCTCCATCTCTTCTTGTTCTGCTCAATCCTACAATGTCTTGTCCTTCGGAGCTAAACCGGACGGAAAGACAGACGCAACCAAAGCGTTCATGGCGGTTTGGGAAACCGCTTGTGCATCGTCTCGTCCCGTTACCATTGTTGTTCCCAAAGGCCGGTTCTTGTTAAGAAGCCTTAATTTCGACGGTTCAAAGTGCAAACCGAAACCCGTTATATTCCGTATCGACGGTACATTGGTGGCTCCGGCTGATTATCAAGTCATCGGAAATGAAGACTATTGGATATTCTTTCAGCATCTCGACAGCGTCACCGTATACGGCGGAGTTCTTGACGCTAGAGGAGCTTCTTTATGGGGTTGTAAAAAATCCGGCAAGAAATGCCCCAGCGGTGCAACGGTACGTGGAAATTTACTATTTTCCCATTAATTAACTTAATTTGCTTGATTAGTTTCCAAGAAAAAGAAGTACAATATAGATATGATGATGGCAAACCCTTTTCTGAATTATGAAGTTTTATTCCATTTCTTAAAATAAAGATAATACCACATTCCCAATTCACATGGACCAACGTATACCATGGATTCATATAATACGTTAAATTAATAAATGAGATGGTAACTATCATGTGATCAAACAGACCATAGGATTTCAGAGCTCAAGCAACGTTGTGGTCTCCGGGCTCACGTCACTCAACAGCCAGATGTTCCACGTCGTCATCAACGGTTGCAACAACGTGAAGCTACAAGGAGTCAAAGTACTAGCAGCCGGAAACAGCCCCAACACGGACGGTATCCACGTTCAGTCTTCCTCCACCGTCTCTATCATGAATACTAAAATCTCCACTGGCGACGACTGTGTCTCCATCGGTCCCGGCACTAACGGACTATGGATCGAAAATGTCGCCTGCGGCCCTGGTCATGGCATCAGGTAATACTTTAAATCAAGAAATCACCTTTATATGTTATGTTTGTATATTGATAAATAATTTCATATAATAATTTAAATCAAGAAATCACTTTGAATATATAATATCCATTTATCCATAATAATAATATTTTGGATGGGGATCAAATTGGTTGCAGCATTGGTAGTTTGGGAAAAGATAGCGTGGAGTCAGGTGTACAGAACGTGACGGTTAAAACGGTGACGTTTACCGGAACAGATAACGGAGTGAGGATAAAATCATGGGCCAGGCCCAGTAGTGGATTCGCCAAGGACATCCGTTTCCAACATTGTGTAATGAACAACGTAGAGAACCCTATCATCATTGACCAAAACTACTGTCCTGATCACAATTGTCCTGTCCAGGTAAATTCAGTTAAATGATTTACACATTATTGATATCGAAGAGTGGAGACTAATCCATCTCTTTGACACGATTTGTTTTGTTAGGTTTCGGGGATCAAAATCAGCGATGTGTTGTTTGTAGATATACATGGAACATCGGCGACAGAAGTTGGAGTGAAACTCGATTGCAGTTCTAAGAAACCGTGTACCGGAATACGGCTTGAGGACGTTAAGTTAACGTATCAGAATAAACCGGCCGCTTCGGCTTGTACTCACGCCGGAGGGATAGAAGCTGGATTTTTTCAGCCAAACTGTCTATGACCAAAAAAAAACCAAAACATGACATTTTCTTTTAAGTATTACTAAAAAAAACTTCGAAGTACGTAAAATGTAAATTACAATTTCGTAATTGAGATGCATGAGCCTGTGGCGATTGATGGCCCACTGGGCCTTTAGCCTGGCCTTGCTTTGTAGTATATGAACCAGCGTAGGGCGCGACCATTGATATATGTATTTGATGTGTTGTACTGTTGTGTGACTTGTTTTATTCTTATGTAGCTGTTTGGGATTTTTGTTCTTATTATATTATAGATGACGGTTTTATTTTCTGTTATATGTTTTTTACAGTTTTGCTTTGTTATAGTGAAAACAAGGACATTAAAAGACAAGCCTCCTCAATTTCGCACTATTTTATTTTGCTTGGTTAGTTTGTTTCGGTTGCCGTTTGCATTATTTTGGTGGCTCCGTCTTTTCCTCTTCAGTGTAAAGAAAGTGTTTTACAGTTTTAACTCAATCACTATGATTGAAATTTTCATTTCAAAGAGAGATAATAATAGTTAAAACATTTACAATGGTTATAAGAACATACTATCAAATTGAGAGAGCTTTGAACAATATATTACAAATAGTTTTTATATTTAATTTTTGTAAAGTATATACTGTATAGTCCACAAAATTGATTTTGCTGACTAACCAAAAACCAAGATATTACTTGTATAAAGAAATCAAGAAACTGAATCTTACGTAATGAAGTGTGTGCTTAACGCAAGTGATATAACGAATCTTGTGGCACCATAAGAAACTGCGCATGTTTTCTGTATTTGACAAATTTTCTTATTATTTTTATTTGATGCTTACCTTATGTGTTGTTTTGAATGTGTATTTTCACATTTCTAGATTGTGTTTTCCATAGGTGAATCTTACTTTTCGTCTATATCAACCATTATTTTGGAATCTATCCAAAAAGTTGACGAATCATTAATCCACAGATCATGAAATTTATAATCATCTAAATATATAGTCACACTTACCAAATAACTTATGTTATAGTTATATTGATGCGCAATTCTCATGGTTTATGATTCTCTGTAAATATTTCACTAAGGAGTTTAGGCAAGATGTTTAAATTACTCAAGCAGTCAAGTTAGTGAAAATTAATTCATAATCATACCAAATGATACATTAAAGGATCACACAGTCATAATTAATAAGAGTTTCCAAATGTTCTTCTGCGTCTTCTTTTACCTCAATCTAGACAAGAAAAAGAGATATACCAAATTAATCCATAATCAGTTTTTTCTTACATTAAACCAGTCAAATTTTATTATATAAAAAGTTACACCGTGATCTAGGGCCTAGGCACAAGTTGATACAATAATAGGATAATAAAATAAATCATTTCCATATAAACTAATCAGTACGTTACTATCGTAAAAATCCTATAAATTCCCCTCTCACGTATCTTCTTCATCTGCAGTATCATTCATCCTCACAACACTAACATTCTCTGACAAAAAAGAGACAAACCGAAAATGGTTTACAACAACACTTTATGTATTGTTCTTCCTTTGGCTCTCATCTTTCTTGATTTCATCTTACTCTCATCATTAGGCCATCCGACGTCAAGTACCACGCTCAACGTCATATCCTACGGAGCTAAACCAGACGGCTCAACAGACTCAACCAAAGCCTTCTTAGCCGCGTGGGATGTCGCTTGTGCCTCGGCTAATCCTACAACTATTATCGTACCAAAAGGACGGTTCTTGGTCGGGACCCTTGTTTTCCAAGGCAACGAATGTAAGCAAGCTCCAATATCTGTCCGTATAGCAGGCTCAATTGTTGCTCCGGGAGATTTTAGAGTTATCTCAAGCTCAGAACATTGGATCTCGTTTGCGGATGTTACCGATGTTTCAATCTATGGTGGAATACTTGACGCACAAGGAACTAGTTTATGGAAATGCAAGAACAACGGTGGCCATAATTGTCCTATAGGTGCCAAGGTATGCTTGAGCCAGTCGAAACAAAAAAAAACTTTTTTTTCTTCATGCAATTTTGAATATATTTTTGTTGATTGTATTGCAGAGTTTGCTGTTTAGTGGGTCAAATAACATCTATATCAATGGTTTAACGTCGATCAACAGCCAGAGATTCCATATAGTCATCGATAAAAGCAATAACATTAACATTGACGGCGTAAAGGTTTCTGCTGATGCGAATAGCCCTAACACCGATGGGATTCACGTCGAATCATCTCACTTCGTCCATATCACTAACTCGAGAATCGCAACCGGTGATGATTGCATCTCCATCGGTCCAGGATCCACTAGTGTTTTCATACAAAACATTCAATGCGGTCCAGGCCACGGCATTAGGTAATAAAAAAGAATCCTTTCTTGCTTTCCAAGTTTCTTTATATGTATAGCTTGCTAAAATGATATCTTCCTTTATAACAGTATCGGAAGTCTTGGACGAGTCGAGGAAGAACAAGGCGTGGATAACGTAACCGTGAGTAACGTGGATTTCACGGGAACGCAAAACGGAGTTAGGATCAAGACATGGGGGAAGGATAGCACCAGTTTTGCTAGAAACATCATCTTCCAACATATTAATATGAAAATGGTCAAGAACCCGATCATTATAGACCAACACTATTGTCTTGACAAACCCTGCCCTACACAGGTAATTTTTTTGTATTAACAGAACCATATCTTATTCAAACTACTCGTTATATTAGACTAATTTAATTTTTATTATTATAGGAATCTGGAGTTAAAGTGTCAAATGTAAGATATGAAGATATACACGGGACTTCGAATACGGAGGTGGCGGTTTTGTTAGATTGTAGTAAGGAGGAACCATGTACCGGTATTGTAATGGACGATGTGAACCTCGTCTCAGTTAATCGACCGGCTCAGTCATCTTGCGATAATGTAAATGGATTAGCGAACGACGTCGTCCCGTACACTCCTTGTCTAAGGACCGAGATAATTACGATTTGAATTGTAGATATGATAAAATCCTCGGAAACATCGTCGTCCCGATCGCTACATGGCTAAATAGTGAGCTAATGCAGATAGATCCGCGAACGACGTCGTCCTGTTTGTTACTTGTTTTTTCTTTTTAATCTTCAAGAATGTTTGTAATCGAAACTTTGGTTTGAAGTAATGATTATTAAATCTTAGTTCACATACTATTCTTCTTCTTCTTTTTTTGTGTGTGTTTTTGTCTTCCTATAGATAGATATTTTGAGAGATGCACTAACACACAACTTGTGTTGGGTCGGTTGTGGCTACTTGCTTGGTAACGATGAAATAGGAGGTAATGGAAATATGTGGATGTGGAGTAAAGTAAGATTCATAAACTAATTGGAAAATGATTAGTGTGTACATAAATGGTAATTAAAGAGTAACAAATAGGCAAATAGCCGACCCATTAACTATTACCACTACTATAATAATCCATGGAGCAAATTAGATTTGATACTTTAGTCCATGTATTGTACATAAAAATTAGTGGGGCAGCACCAAATTGTTTTAGGGTTTAATATTTTAAAAATTTACCATCATCTTCTCCACTTCACTCAAAAGTCAAAACCCCCCACTTTCTCCAGGTTGTATTCCATTATTAAACAATTTTTTTATACATTATTTTCTCTTATAATCATTTCATATACTATTTGTATATAAGCTGTATAGGATTAGTGACTCGAATCAAGTTTTACCCGCGTTTAATACCTCCAGAAACGAATTGTAAACCAACGAACTTATTGGTTAATATCGTTTATGGATAAATAATCTCAATTTTTTATAATTAACCAATTAAGATACAAAAAAAAAACAGACTAGGATCGGTTTTTTCTGTGACTTGTCGTCTTCTTCTTTGTCTCAACCCCTCCATTGACGAACCCTCAAAGACGCAATGTGGGTTTAATCTTTAATCCATTGTCCATTGATGATTGATCTTGTGGGGTTTTGAGAATTTTGCGTAAAGGAATAAACTTTTTGCATCAATGGAGAACATAACCGCACAGCTCAAGCGAGGGATTTCAAGACAATTCTCAACTGGGTCGATTCGTCGAACATTGAGCCGACAGTTCACACGTCAGTCATCTCTCGACCCTCGTCGGACCAACATGAGGTTTAGTTTCGGTCGTCAGTCTTCTCTCGATCCGATCCGGAGGAGTCCTGATTCTTCCAGAGGCGACGGCGAGCCACATATGTCGGTACCGGAGAATCTCGATTCGACGATGCAGCTTCTTTTTATGGCTAGCAAAGGTGACGTCAGAGGAGTCGAGGAGCTTCTTGATGAAGGGATCGATGTTAATAGCATCGATCTTGATGGCCGTACGGCGCTTCACATCGCCGCCTGTGAGGGACATCTAACCGTTGCTAAGGCTCTTCTTAGCCGCAGAGCTAACATTGATGCTCGTGATCGATGGGGAAGTACGGTCTGTCTTAAACCTCTAGCTTCTCTTGTCAAATTCGATTCTGTTGTGCTGATTGTATGGATTTGGGTTAAAGGTTTTTTTTTATAATGTTTTCTGGTAAATTAGGCTGCTGCTGATGCTAAGTATTATGGGAATTTAGATGTTTACAGTCTCTTGAAGGCTCGAGGAGCTAAAGTTCCGGTAATAATTTCATTGACTTTTGGATATGATTGGTGTGTTTTTTTGTGCATGTGTTGTGTTATGACAGGCTTTTCATCTTCACACTTTGTAGAAAACCAGGAAGACGCCGATGACTGTCTCGAATCCACGCGAAGTTCCTGAGTATGAGCTTAATCCGCTTGAGGTTCAAGTCCGGAAAGCGGATGGCATCTCAAAGGCATGTTCTTTCCTCCCTTAAGATCACTGTTTTAGAGCAATTTTACTTATTTAAGCCAATCGGGTTTAATTGTTTGCAGGGAGCATATCAAGTAGCTAAATGGAATGGCACGCGGGTTTCGGTCAAAATACTTGATAAAGATAGCTACTCAGACCCGGAACAGATGTATGCATCTACTACTTGTGCTCTTTTCCTTATGTTACATTTGAGTGAGCTTGAAATGATAAGTAACTCCAAAACGTGTTCCTTAAGCTGTTATTTGGTTTGGCAAGAAGAAACTGATTCTGCTTTGTCTTTCTGGCTGTTAATCTGAATAGAAACGCATTTAAACATGAATTGACGTTGCTTGAAAAAGTCCGGCATCCAAATGTTATCCAGTTTGTTGGAGCTGTCACTCAGAATATACCGATGATGATTGTAGTCGAGTATAACCCAAAAGTAAGCATCTTTACTTGTATTGTCCCTTCTGATTTTACCTTTCTTCGCTAATCATCTGAATGTCTTCTCCTCCATTACCTTTTTGATTCTATTGCAGGGAGATTTAGGTGTATATCTCCAAAAGAAAGGACGTCTTTCTCCTTCCAAGGCACTTAGATTTGCTCTTGATATCGCGAGGTATGTCAACTTCTCATATATTGCTCCTACGGTTACTGTAACTGCCAGTACCTCACCTGATGTTTTTCATGGTTTTTCTGGTGTCAGGGGAATGAATTACCTCCATGAATGTAAACCAGATCCAATCATTCACTGCGATCTAAAGCCAAAGTAAGATAACCAAAGACAAATTTTGATTAGATACGTGAAAACCTTTGGTACATACTCATTGAGATGTTTGTGTTCATTTATTATTTTGAAATTTTTCGTAAGGTGTCAGAAATATTTTGCTGGATAGAGGTGGGCAATTAAAGATCTCGGGATTCGGTATAGTAAGATTGTCGAAAATTTCACAAGACAAGGCGAAAGTAGCAAACCACAAAGCACATATAGATCTCTCAAGTAAGGAGATTGCTTCATTCATATGCATGAAAAAAGGAAATTTGGCAAGATCTGTGATCACTGAAAAACCATTTCTTGATTGCAGATTACTACATAGCACCAGAGGTTTATAAAGACGAAATATTTGATCGAAGGGTCGATGCACACTCCTTTGGTGTAATTTTATACGAGGTATATTTCCTCATTTGGCTCTGTTTCTTCTTGTGTCTTGTGTTTCTCTAATCTTGTTTGTGTGTGTGTGGTCAGATAACTGAGGGAGTACCGGTTTTCCATCCGAGACCTCCTATAGAAGTTGCAAAAATGATGTGTTTAGAAGGAAAGAGACCGGCATTTAAAACTAAGTCAAGAAGTTACCCTCCGGGTTTAAAAGAGTAAGCTCTAAAACTATTTAGAACCAAGAATATTCAATGGCCTATGCACAGACATGGAGCGCTGGTTTTTTTAACCCGCTGTGTTCCTTAATCTGCAGATTGATTGAGGAGTGTTGGCATCCAGAAGTTGGTATTAGACCGACATTTTCTGAGATTATCTTTCGACTTGACAAAATAGTAGCTAATTGCACTAAACAAGGATGGTGGAAAGACACATTCAAGTTCCCTTGGTAAGTTTTCATCTTCTTATATAATCCATGGTTAAACAGAGATGAAAGATTGTGAGTTTTAATGGTTTCTTTCACAGGAAATAAAAGGGAAGAAGAAAAAGAAGAACTCACTTGAGATTTCTGGACAGAATACGATACACAATGTTGCTCAGACATATGGACAAACTCACTTGCTCTGTATATTTTTCTGTGTGTAGAACATAATTTTTTTTTGTTTTTTCCATTTCACTCTATTACGGGCTGTATCCATAAGTTTGTACAGTTTATAAGCATTACTGTGTAATAAACAAAAAGAAAACTCCGGCTCGTTGCAGAGAAAAGATCTGATAGGCTATGATTGTTTTTTTTTTTTTTGAATAAAAGTAGAGGATCCGACTAAACCGGGGTATATGATTGTTTTTTTCTTATTTAACGTTTGGAATATCCATCAGAACATTATGATTTCATGTTAAAAATTCAAACTGATGCACAAGCAAAAAAAAAATCTAATGATGAGTTCATGTAATAAGTCATTAGGACATACAACAAAAGAAGAATCAACTTTGAAGGTTTTATTGAAATATCTTTGCTACATTAGAAGCATAACAATCTTTGCTACATTTCACCATGTGCATAACTTAATTGATTTGAATTTTGGATACAAATTCGTTAATGTTGATGTCTGTAGAGCCTCCTTCACTGAGTGACTTGACAGCCAAGTCCCTCCATTTTTCGGCGTTCTCCTTCATCTCTTTGCTCTTCTCTCCTTCCATCACTTCCTTGATGCTAAACTCAATCTCCTCTCTTTTGGCAATCCCACTTTCTTTCTCTGCTTTCACACGAATCCCAACCTTCCACACATCTTGAATATACTTTGCATTCATCGGTTGATCAGTCCACTGGGGCATAGCCACCATGGGAACCCCTAAACTCAAACCCTCCATGGTTGAGTTCCAACCACAATGAGTCATGAAACAACCGATGGCTTTGTGTGACAGAACCTGAAGCTGGGGACTCCAGTTCAATATCAAGCTCTTGTCTTTATCCACTGTTTCAAGAAACCCTGATGGGAGCTTTGACTCCTCTGAAGCTCTGACCACCCACAGGTAGCTGAAGTTGCCTATCGCCAAAGCAATCTCTTCCATCTGCGCACTACTCAGTTTAGCCATGCTCCCAAAAGCTATGTAAACCACCGACCCTTGTGGCCTTGAGTCTAGCCACTCGGTGCACAAGGCAGCTTCTTTTAAGTCAAAGAGGTTTAGATCATAGTCGTTGTCTGATTTGACCTGTTGGTCTAAGTACATTGATGGAACAGTTGGACCAATTGTCAACACAGGACAAACCTTCGACAGCAGCTCCTCTTCCTATAGAAGGAAAGCAAAATAGAAAAAATAGCCATTAGGTGTAAAACAGAGTAAGGAAGGCAATAAAAGACAGAGTAGCTAAGGGAAAAACAGGGTAGTTAGGGCAAAAAGAATAGAGTAACTAGGGCAAAGAAACAGAGTAATTAGATTGAAAACAGTGTAAATATGGAAAACAGAGCAACCAAGGTAAAGACAGAGTAAATTGGACGTGACTAAAGAGAAGAAAAAAGAGATTAGGAAATGAACTAACATGATGGTCAAGCTCATGGAAGGAATTAACGAGTATGAAATCAGCATTCTGGAAGTTGGTGAACTGTTGAAGCACCATCTCAAAGTAAGCAAGGTGGGAGGCAGTAGGAGTGACGAAGGTAGGCAAATCTTGGAGCTCAAGAAGAGGCAAGTCCTCGATGGGAAGAGTCAAGCTTCCATTGTTTCTGCAAGAAAGATAATTGACATAGTTGACGGCGCAAGACTGCGTGAAGAAAGGAGCAGCAACTAAACCGAACTCCCTTGCAAGGTCAAGTGCCCAAGGCATGAAAGAATCGTAGACAATACAAGTGATGGGGTTATCACTGTTCTGGTGCTTGCGGATGACATCAGCAACGGTTTTGGAGCCGAAGGTCTTGAAGTTTTGGAGGTACTCAGGGACAGAACCGGCTGATGAGAAGCCTCCATGGTCGTATCCGTCGGAGATTGTGGCTACGGAGATGGGACTAGATGGGTCGAGGTGGATGGTGTTGAAGATGAAAGTGGTGAGAGTGTGAGTGGTTTTGAAACCTTTGGAGTGAAGACGTTTGCAGAATTGGCGAATCGGGGTGATGTGTCCTTGGCTTGGGAAGGGCACTGCTAATACATGTCCTCTCATCTTCTCCATCTCTCCCTTTCTCTCTCTGTCGCTCTCAATCTTTTGCTTTATGCAGAACTCGAATAAAGAGACTTTGCTTATATATATTAGTAGAGTTGTTAGGTTCTTGCGACTTGCGAGAGAAGACAACAGCTTGTCATCAGAGAAAGAAAGGGAAAATGTGGTCTGGTCCAATATACTATACAAATGAAAAGCTTACTTCAGAAAGTTTTTTATTTATTACTTTGTAGGACATTGTTATCTTTGGGGGGATTGGGAAGATGAATGACAGTACAGACAGACACATGGAATTGTTATCTCTACGGTTCTTTACTTAGAATAAAATCTCCACAAAATATTTATTTATAGTAGTAAATATTAATAAAATTTCATCCTTTATAGTAATAAATATTAATAAACTTTATCTAAATCTACTTGATTCAAAATATTCATTTACAGTAGTAAATATTAGGAAAAAAGATGGCTGCGTACACCAAATATAGAGGAATGCATGGTCACATATGCCAAGTATCCTATTGTATACTCAACTACACGAACTAGATGTATTGCATTACCACATGCATCAACTATACAACGTCATGTATTCAACACCATAGACATAAAATTCTGCTACACCGGTCAACTGACTCTAGCGTTGACCGGTGTTGACTCCGGCGTTGACCGTTTTTGACCCAAAAAAAATTCAAATTTTTTAATTTAATTTGATTTTTATTGTTAAAAAAACTAAAAACTGTAATTATTTTATAATGAATTGGTATGGTTTTGTATACTATAAAAAAATATAATCTTAGGAAAAAATTGTAACAATAATTTTTGTATTTAAGTAAATCACATAATAAGTTAATGGTTTTGATTGACAATGTAAAAATAAGCAATTCCTTACTAATTCATAAGATTTTCCAGTTTTAATTTAGATTCTAATATCTTGAGTTATTTTACGATTAGTTTAGCTCTAAATTTTAAAAATAACTAATTATAATAAGAATGAATACATTAAAGATTTAAACAAAACTAGTGTTTAGATATTGAATATATAAAAACAAAATCAATATTTTTTATTAAATTTTTTATGGTTTTGTATAATGAAAAATATATAATCTTAGGAAGAAAATTGCTATGATGATTTTGTATTTAAATAAATCAAATATAAAGTTAATATTTTTATTAACAATATAAAAATAAGTAATTCCCTTACTAATTCACATAATTTATCTAGTTTTAATTCAGATTTTTTTTTTTGGTAAAAAGTTTTAATTTAGATTTTAGTATCTTGAATTATTCTACTATCTTGAATTTTTCTAATTTTAATTTAGATTTTAATATCTTGAATTAAATACAAAATCATCGTCGTCATTTTCTTCCTAAGATTATATTTTAATAATATAATATCTTGAAATTGTTTATAGTTTTGTATAATTAAAAATTCAAAATTAATTATAGTTTTTAGTTTGTTTAACAATAAAATAAAATTATATAAAAAAGTTTGGAATTTTTTTTGGGTCAAAAATGGTCAACGCCGGAGTCAACGACAGAGTCAGTTGACCGGTGTACCAGAATTTTATGTCTATGGTGTTGACTACATGACTTTGTATAGTTGATGCATGTGGCCATGCAATACATCTAGTTCGTGTAGCTGAGTATACAATAGGATACTTGACATGTGTGACCATGCATTCTTCTATAGTTGGTGTAGCCAGCCATCTTTTTTCCTAAATATTAATAATCTTTAGTCTCCACAAAATATTTATTTATAGTAGTAATATTAATATCTTTTTAAAAAATTCAAAATTTTGAGGAAATAGAAACACTGAATCAATAAAAAGTATGAAGACAATTCTATAATTAGAATAAAATATTTATTTATAGTAGCAATATAAAATAAATTTTTGTACCAAATCAAATTTTAAAAATAAATAAGAAATGAAATAAATTTATTTATAATAAAAAAATCTTTGTATATAATTTGATGGAAATATCTTTAAAATTATATACTTATTCAATTCCAAAATCAAGTATATAAAATAGTCATAATGTATATTACAAATGAAAAATTTAGACATTTAAATATAGTGGTCCAAATGTCAAGTGATGTATATGTTAAACCTAACAAGGCCAAAATATATAAATTATGTGGTAAACATAATAAAACAAGATTAGCAGGTCATATATAAAAAGGGTTTAATTAGAACGGTATTAATTATTTGCATGCAACCATGAAATATAACAACGGTTTGATATGAAACCAACTAAAATACATCATTCGGAAAATAAGGCATTTCTCTAATTAGATATTTGTTCGACTTTAAGAGCAAAGTACGTAACATCCAAAGTTGTTGATAGAAACAATGAAGAAGCTGGTGGTAAGGTAAAATTTTTGGCGGAACTGATCCCAACTATTGATTCATGGAGGGACCAGTTGGACCAATTCAACACAAGACAACTTCTTTGTGTAACAAGTAAATAAAAAGAGTAATTAAGACATGAACACAGATCAAGGCATGGTTAAGAAAGCTGTGTGCTAGGTAGTTGAACTGAAGAAATCAGATTGTACCAAGAGATTGTGGACTAATGCTGTCATAATCATAAAATCAAAAGGAACAACTACAAGAGTAAATTGTTTTCTGATGGATTCTTATTTGTTTGCCTTGTCTTTCTATAATAGAATATGGAACTACACGTTCCTACAAACTTGGAATCATAAACATATTGAGAAATTTAAGCACACTGAGCATGGATTCCTACATTCTCGGAAAACATACAATGAACACACAACATAAGCAGAATCAACTTAAAATATCATACTTAAAGAAAGGCTGACCAAACCAAATGTGTTTTGTACTATATTTGAGAGTAGCTTAATTCCTCTGCACTTTTGATACAAACGTGTCAATGTTGATATCTGTAGAGCCTCCTTCACTGAGTGACTTGACAGCCAAGTCTCTCCATTTCTTAGCGTTCTTCTTCATCTCTATACTATTCTCTCCTTCCATCACTTCCTTAATGCTAAACTCAATCTCTGTCCTCTTGGAAATCCCACTCTCCTTGTCTGTCTTCACCCGAACACCAGCCTTCCACACATCTTGTATGTACTTTGCGTTCATTGGTTGATCTGTCCATTGAGGCATTGCCACCATGGGAACTCCTAAGGTTAATGCCTCCATGGTTGAGTTCCAGCCACAGTGAGTCAAGAAACAACCGATGGCTTTGTTTGACAGAACTTGAAGCTGAGGACTCCATTTCAAGACCAAGCTTTTGTCTTTATCCACTGTCTCAAGAAACCCTGATGGGAGCTTTGCCTCCTCTGAAGATCTGACCACCCACAGGAAACTGAAGTTTCTTACCGCTAAAGCAAGCTCCTCCATCTGCACATTATTTAGGTGAGCCACGCTGCCGAATGCTACATACACCACCGACCCTTGTGGCCTCGTGTCAAGCCAGTTGGTGCAAAAGGCAGCATCTTTTGAATCAAAGAGATTCAGATCGTAGTCTGTGTCTGATTTGATCCGTTGGTCTAAGTACATTGATGGAACAGTTGGACCCACAGTCAGTACAGGACAAGCTTTCGACCACAATTCCTTCTCCTGTAACGAAAAACAGAGTAATTGTGACAATAAAAACAGAGTATTGCGACTATGAACAAAACATGGTTGAGAAAATTGTGAGAAGAAAGAGAGAGAGAGAGATCTAACATGAAGCTCCAATTCTTGGAAGCTATTAACGAGCAAAAAATCAGCTTTTTCAAAATTTGTAAACTGTTGAAGGACCATCTCAAAGTATGCAGGGTAAGATCCAGAAACAGAGAGGAAAGAAGGCAAATCTTGGAGCTCAAGAAAAGGCAAGTCCTCAATTGGAAGCTTCAAGCTTCCATTGTTTATGTAGGAAAGATAATAAACGTAGTTCACAGCACAAGGCTGCGTAAAGAAAGGAGCCGCAGTCAAACCAAAGTCTCTGGCAACGTCTAGCGCCCAAGGCATGAAAGCATCGTAAACGATACAAGTGATTGGGTTATCACTACCCTGGAGCTTACAGATGACATCTGAAACGGTTTTAGAGCCGAAGGTTCTGAAGTTTCGGAGGTAGTCGTGGACGGAGGCTGCTGATGAGAATCCCCCATGGTCGTAACCGTCGGAGATGGTGGCTATGGAGACTGGATCAGATGGGTCAGGTTTGATGGAGTTAAAGATGAAAGTGGTGAGGGTGAGAGTGGTTTTGAGACCTTTGGAGTGAAGTCTTTTGCAGAATTGGCGAATTGGTGTGATGTGTCCTTGCGTAGGATATGACACAGCCAATACATGTCCTCTGTTCTCCATTTCTCTCTTAAAATCTTTGCTCTAACCAAAAAATGAATATGCCTTCAGAAATTATGCGAATATATATAGATAGGTTTACTCGGTTCTTGCTCAAATTAGTATAATCACATGTGTACATGCTAGGAATCAAATTATAACTAAATCATCAAATAGATAATGTAACCGTCAAAGGTAGGTAGTCTTTAAGACCTGCAACTACATTTGGAACAAATATATTTCTGTTTGCTTAGACGTTTACTGTATGTATATATATTTTTAGTTAAACTACAATCTTTATCCTTTAAATGTGAAACCAGCCATGTCGAGTACTTTATCGTTTTATTTGTTATTGTTGGAGAAGACCACAATAGTGAGTAAGCAGTGAAGAGATTCTCCACGGTTCTTTGATTTTGCCCGGCAAGAAAATGACTTTTTACTATTTGATATCTTCACTAATATATATGACGTGTTGGTATTCTCTATAGCATGTGATTTTGTTGTATCTTTCACTGAGTTATCCATATGATATGAAACTCCCAATACATGTCCTCTCTTCTTACCTTCACCAATAGTTTACATATAATGTGTTGAAAGCAAATAAGCTACTGATACTCAATGGTGGTAAAGTAAGGTGTTGCATTGAATCTTTTTATTGTTTTCAACAAGATGAAATATAAGGATTTGAACATACAACATAAGAAAAATCAACTGAAGATTATGCTGAATGAAAGACATACTCAACAAGAAATTATAGACCGATCGTTACTGCCTTATGTGAGTAGCTTATTTGCTCTCAACCTTTGATACAAATGTGTCAATGTTGATATCTGTAGAACCTCCTTCATTGAGTGACTTGACAGCCAAGTCTCTCCATTTCTTCACGTTCTTCTTCATCTCTACGCTCTTCTCTCCTTCCATCACTTCCTGAATGCTAAACTCAATCTCTGCCCTCTTAGCAATCCCACTCTCCTTGTCTGTCTTAACCCGAACTCCAGCCTTCCACACATCTTGTATGTACTTTGAGTTCATTGGTTGATCGGTCCATTGAGGCATTGCTACCATGGGAACCCCAAAGGTCAAAGCCTCCATGGTTGAGTTCCAGCCACAGTGAGTCAAGAAACAACCAATGGCTTTGTTTGACAGAACTTGAAGCTGAGGACTCCATTTCAAGACCATACTTTTCTCTTTATCCACTGTCTCAAGAAATCCTGATGGAAGCTTAGCCTCCTCTGAAGATCTGACCACCCATAGGAAGCTGAACTTGCTTACTGCTAAAGCAAGCTCCTCCATCTGCACATTATTCAGCTGGGCCATGCTTCCAAATGCTACGTACACCACCGACCCTTGTGGCCTCGTGTCGAGCCAGTTAGTGCAGTAGGAAGCATCTGTCGATCCAAATAGATTGAGATCATAGTCGGTGTCTGATTTGATACGTTGATCTAAGTAAATTGATGGAATAGTCGGACCAATTGTCAACACGGGACAAGATTTCGACCACAATTCCTTCTCCTGTAACGAAAAACAGAGCAATTAGGACATGAACAAGAGCAAGAATCAGATCAAGAACAAGACATGGTTTAAAAAGTTGTAAGAAAGAGATAGAAAGAGAGAGAGAGAGATCTAACGTGAAGTTCTAACTCTTGGAAGCTATTAACGAGTACGAAATCAGCTTTTTCGAAATTTATAAACTGCTGAAGGACCATCTCAAAGTAAGCTGGGTAAGATCCAGAAACAGAGAAGAAGGAAGGCAAATCTTGAAGCTCAAGAAAAGGCAATTCCTCAATGGGAAGCTCCAAGCTTCCATTGTTTATGTAGGAAAGATAATAAACGTAGTTAACAGCACAAGGCTGCGTAAAGAAAGGAGTGGCAACTAAACCAAACTCTCTAGCAACGTCAAGCGCCCAAGGCATGAAAGCATCATAGACGATACAAGTGACGGGGTTATCGCTAGTTTGGTGTTTGCGGATGATGTCTGCAATGGTTTTGGAGCCGGAAGTTTTGAAGTTTTGGAGGTAGTCGTGGATGGAGCCAGCTGTGTCGAAGCCGCCGTGGTCATAGCCGTCGGAGATGGTGGCTATGGAGATCGGACCAGAAAGGTCAGGTTTGATGGAGTTGAAGATGAAAGTGGTGAGAGCGAGAGTGGTCTTGAGACCTTTGTAGTGAAGTCGTTTGCAGAATTGGCGGATTGGAGTGATGTGTCCTTGCGTTGGATATGGAACTGCCAATACATGTCCTCTCTTCTTCTCCATCTCTCTTTCTCTCTAATTAATATCTTTTGTTTTAACCAAAATGAATATGCCTTGAGAGATGATGCCAGTCAATATATGTATATATATAGCCTGCCTAGGTTTGTCTGGTCCTGTTTTAGATAAGAGCTTTGGGACCAGAAGATAGTTTGTTGCTTTTCGTCTTCTTGTTTTTTTCCCTTAAGAAAGAAATGGAAATAAGAAAACAAAACCAATTTGCATTTCTTTCATATGTCAAAGGAAATGTGTTTAATTATTACAAGTTGTTTGTACTAGTAATTTTTTAGCTTCATTATTTGCATGCCATGTGCTTCTAATGTTCTGTATATTTCAAAACTTGTACTACTATTTTTAAACACAAAGTTAAGTCTTAATTAACATATTTACGATGGATGCAATCATGCAAATGGAAGAGAAACATATGTTTCAGAGCGTTTACTTTTCACGTTTTATTAATACAATTGCAGTTTGCAGAAAACAAAACTATTCCCCCTTGACTTGTAAAAGAACTAAGAACTAACATGTGATGATGTCAAAAGATTCTCTACGGTTCTATAATAATCACAAGAAGTTGTCGACAATAAACAAGGACTTGTCTGTTTCAGGTCTTCCTCAACTTCTAGTATACCTGACATTACGTTATTATCTTTGATTTGTGATGTTGTTGTATCTTTCAGTAAATCCATAACGTTACTATCTATAATGCCAACAATTTTAAGCTTTTTTTTTCTTGTGAAATGATGATAACAATAATGTCTAATGGATCAACAAAATATATGATGAACTTTTATTGAACCAAAGCTAACAATTTTTTTGGCAGGGATAAGCAATTGAATAGAGTTAAATTGATAACAAAATTTCTAAACAATAATTTTATCAATCATAAAATATAAATGATTGTTAAGATGACTTTGGCCAAGAAAAAAAAAAAAAAAAATTGTTAAGATGACATGACATCAGAGTCTGGCGTAAGTGATTGCATCATTAAAACTTGATGACAAAGTTGAGCCACTCACGTCGTACGTTGTAAAATTGGCTCCGAAGACTAATAATAAGGGAACAGCGATGCTTAAGAGGTTCCTTTTGTTATCAAATAAGGGTACAGGTTCTCTCTCAGAATTTTAAAGATGTTCCATAGACCCAAGCTGAGTTGCAAGAAAAAAAAAAGACATGTTGAACTGATGATACAGAGATGATATAATAAATCTCCGGTTGCTATAAATGCTAACATTGTCAAATGCTAGAGGTAGAAGAAGAAGATGATCCCCATTCATGGTGGTGATAAAGAGAGCTAGGCTCCATCTGCCAAATTCCCCTGCGTTGTGCTGATGTAAAGAACTGTGGCCAACAGACAGCAAAATTTTCAGATACATATATCGCAAAATAAACCGAAGCGATGTAAAGAGTTATGTCACATGTGATTTGATTTTACCGTTGTTTCCACGAATGAAAGCATCGCCATACTTGTTCTTTAGCTGGCCATTTACGTACTCCTCCGTTTGCTCCATAGCTATGTTCATGTACCCATCAAGACAAGTAAGAACACCTGCAAACAAGACAGAGAAAACATGTCGTGTCATGTGTAGTTTCCTTGTGTGACTGAGAGAAGCTTTGTTAAACTTGCTTGATACAAAATGAAGGAGATTGTCAAACTAGAAGTTCTTCTTTATAGAGAAAACAAACAAAAATATTCAAGCTAGAAGTTCTCGTAGTCATGTATGCTATACAGTTTAAGAAACCAAGGTCTTGTCCTTTATATTCAAGTGATATATGCTCCCGGGCTAGATTTTTTAGCACTGGTGAAAATCCACATTCTATGATAACTTCACAAGCACATGTAAGTGCATATGGAAACACATCAGAGAATACATAAATGAAGGTACTTATTAAGACCAGCCCAAGACTAGCTCCAAAAGGACAGAATCAACAAAGCTAATGCGATTAACTCTCTGAGTTCACAAAGCTATCGTCTAAATTAAAAATTAAATCTCAAATTCCAACGAAGCCATTCTCAAACACAGTTTCTTCACTTTCTTGGAGACAAGATTTGAAAAAATATCCTGATTTAGTGATACGAAAACCCATTCTAAACAAGGTGAAAAAAAATAAAACTTCAGAGATGCATCTTTCATATCAAATGAGAATCAAGCAATTCTTAGATAATGCTCTAAACAGATATCCAAAGGTTCCCATCAACATGGCGAAAAAGAAAGGTGTTAAGACTTAAGAGTCATATAAACCAAAGTGCACAAATGTTTATATAGACCGCCACAGTTGCTCTTAACCACCAAAAACAGAAGCAAACTATAAGATAGAAAGCAGAGAGACTGACCTCGGTAATCAACACCAGAGTTGAGCTTGACAACAACTAGTCTACCACGGATAGACTTCAAGAAATCAGCAGGTGTCTTAGTTCCTCCAGAAGCTTTCTCTCCAATTCCACTCATCTTATTCTTTTGCTTAGTAACCACAATCTCCTTTATTCCCAATATACCTGCCCAACGAATTAGATCCAAAATCAAACAGACCCCTCAAGAGTTTTTCACACAAAGCCAACAAATTTAAGCAACAAGTTTCGAGTCAGCAATTCGAAATCCAAAGCCCTTGAGAAAATGAATTATCTTGATTCCTACACTCGTAGCATCTCAACGATTACACGAACACCGTGCCCTAAAACCCTAAACCTTGACTAATTTGGGGAGAGAGAGATAGAGAGGCGCGAATCACTACGAAAGATAAGAAATTTAGAAATAGATTGCAGAAACAGAGAACTTAGTTAAGAACAATGAACCTCGGGTCGGCGATCAAACTGCAAACGCGTAGCTAAGAGACTTGCTTAGGTTCGATCAAGAAGTCGAAGAGAGCTGTAGTCAAAGAGTAAACACACGATATAAAATAATAAACAAATTATTGTCTTAAAACAAATTATATAAATGATGCCCAAAAAAAATGATTTCGCAATTTTTAACAATTTTTTATGTAAAATCTTTTACTTTTACGAGTGGTCCACAAAAGACATTATTTTGGCCTAAAAGTGATTTATCTTGCATTGCATACAAATTGTTAATAACTTGGTTCATCATTATGTGCGACATTTTTCTTTTTAGTCAATTTTAATTCTGGAAAAAGTGAATTTTCAAATTGGTTTTGGGAGAACAACTTTTCATGTAAACAATGCAAAAGTACTATAGTAGATATTTCTTCACATTTTGAGATTAATGCGAATATGCGATGATGATTCTTGAAAAATACACAAAGACTTTATTTCAGTTCTTCTATCTAGCTGGTTCAATAAATACATGTACACGTGACATACATAATTCGAACAGAGGACTGGAACGAACGTACAGACTACAGAGCTAGCTGATAGCAACTTGCAACAATCTGCCAAAATCTATTTAATCTTCCTTATAAATCCGCCTATCAATAAAAATATAGTAATATGTTTTATATAACAGATGTTTCTTTAGTACGTAGCAAATGAAACCAAAGACTAATGCATACACCCAAACCAAACCCGCAGCCAACAGTTTTCCCTTAAAACGAGCCATCCTCGTCGTCTATAGAACCCGAGGGACTAAGCTGTGAGTTGTTGCTGTTAACCAACGGAAACAGAGGCGTGGTGGTCTGGTTCGAGAGCGAATGTCGTGGCACGGATCCATACACCGTTCTCTCGTTTACACGACCAACTTCTTTACACACTTGATCAAGAATTGTCAGAAAGTCTCTGACCACAGCGAATATGCGAAAAGGATGAGTTTCCGAGTTCCCGTGGAAATACTCTGTTACTTCTTTGACCATCTTCATGACATTGTCTCCCTGAGATTGTATCTCTGTGATCTCTTTCTCAGCTTTGTTCAAAAACGAGTTCATTGACTCCAAGAATCTCTCTACACCGGTTTCTTGCTTCAGCTCTGCGATTACTTCCTTGACTTTCGTTATTCCGCTGGCTATTTCTGCTGTTTCGTTGATTAGGGAGTTTGAATCCATGGCAGCTGCTTTCTTGACGTTTATCAACTGAGAGCTGAGACCTGAAACTACTTGCAACCCCAGTTTCTTGAGCTCTAGGTCGTCTTGGAATGCAGATTGTTCAGCCATGTTATTGCCTATATGGCTTTGAGTCGGAGTAAAAGGAACCCGAGCTCCTTCAAATTTTATGATCTCTTGAACCACGAAATGCAATAAGGTGGTTTTCCCATCCGTGCCTTTGATATCTACCAGTTTTAAGAGTGTGTCAAGCTTGAAAGCATGTGCGTCACCTCTATTGGTTCCTATATTCATCCGGTTCCCAGTCTTGAGCACTGCTTCTAAAAGCTTCAAGAACATCCGCGTGTTCTTTAACTCACCACAAGCAGCCTGAGAGTTTGATACAAAATGCATATGAATGTTCTGTCTTCAGCAATCAGCACAGATACACTTATAAAATAAAGTGGAGTTTTACCTCAATGGTGTCAAAGGATCTTTTAAGGTACTCGGTTTCTGATTCAGAGTTGACTATATAAAGCATTGCATCGATCCTTTTGAAGGCGAAAGGAATGTTCAACAATGCTTTGAGGAATTTCTCTGCAGGTCCCATTTTGGAAGGAGATCCATCATCATCGTCTTTAAGCTCCTTAAGCTTGTCCTCTTCTTCTTTGGTAGGAGCCATCTTAAGCAAGCATTCGAGAAGCTCGGGTCCAAGCGTATCCGAGTTGCCTGATTCACAAACAAGAAAGTGATTAGACATCTCGTTTTTCCATACAACTAAGTCAGACAAGCCATGCTTCAATAATCTCAAACCAATTTGAGGAATCATCAAAGCCAAAGGAATGTTGCTGTGAGTGTGAGTAGCCTAAGTAAATTTCAAAATTAGACACGGAAACTTCTGCATAAGCTACAATAGATTGAAAAACACTCACCTTCTACAAGGGCTTCACATACTTCGTCTGCAGTTACATTAAGAGCTCTCAGCAAAATCGCAATGTTGTGGGATTTTCTTGGATCAAGAAACCGATTTTCCTGATTCGTTGATTGAACAACTGCGTCTCTTGTTCTTGAACTTGGATCATTCACCTTGAACAATGTCTCTATCATTTCTTCATTCACTCTGCAAAATTCAAAGAATAATATGTTAGACTTAGTCGTGTATGCAAAGAGGGGAAATAAATTCCCTTAAATATTCAAGAATTCAATTCCAGTTAGTTATGTCTTACTGAAATGAGTTTGATATGATTTGGTCCCACACCATAGCACGGCTCGAGCTTGCTCTGACTTTGTCCCAATGTAAAGGCTTCAACTTTGGTTTCAAAATCTCCTCTTTCTTATCACTATCAGGATCAGAATCCCTAACAGGAGGCGAGAGAGGCATAGTAGCCGGAATAGGAGGCGAGAGCGACACGGTAGCCGGAATCTCCAAGGAATGAGACGGAGGAGGAGGAGGTGGAGGTGGCCTCGCTGGACAAAGCCGCTTGCCAACGCCGTCGCTTAAGCTGTTGTGACTGTGCCGCGAGAGAGGAGGACTCATCGACTTCGCTTTCAAGCTTGTTCCCGGAGAAGCATTCAATGACGACGCGGAATTAGCTGGCGAAGCCGATTTCGAACCGGAGTCACTGATACCCTTGTTCCCAATCTGATCAACATCAGAGTCCCTCATAATACTAGCCCAGACACGTGTCGGGCTCTGCTTACGCCCTGAAGATCCTCTGGGAGAGAAAAACTCATCGTTTTCGTAATCGTCTCCATCAAAGTCTTGTCTTTTAGGGTTTAACTGTTCAGTGCTTTTGTAAGTCGGAGTGAAAGATGGAAGCTTTGGTAAAGGAGGAAGAGGACGAAGCTCCGGCGAGCCTAGCTTTTGGTACTGTGAGTAAGATGAAGAGGAAGACGACGAAGCTGGGGGAGGTAATTCCAGTACGCCGGTGACACCGCCGGACATGGAGATTGGAGACTTTTGCTGTTCTAAACCACCGCTTCGAGAGTTTACTAAAGTACCTAAGTAGAGAAACTCGGAGGAAGTGTGAGAGGAAGTGTACTTGGGTGGTTGTTGATGTTGTTTTTGTTTCAGAGAGCCGTCGGAAGGAGAGGCGTTGAAGAGCTGAAGAGCGTCCGATCTCGTGGATTTGGTGTCATCTGCAGGGGAGGAGCGGCGACGATGGCGAGTTCTACGGATGAAGATGATAATGACGGCGAATAGAGAGAGGAGAGCCGCGGCGGAGATAGCTGAGGCAGTTATGGTGACGAGCTTGGAGATGTAGTTGTTGTTGCTGTGACGTTTGGAAGGGCTCTGATGAGTTGGGAAGAGGAGAGAAGAGATGTTGGCGGGAAAAGTAGGAAGTGAGGCCGGAGGAGGAGGTGCAGGAGGAGGGTGAGAGGCCGTAGAGGCTGGGTCTGAAGAAGGGAAGAAAGGGTTGGGGTGCGGCGGGGACGGCGGAGGAGGTGGAGGGTTAGCGATGGCGGAGAAAAGGTGTTTCTCGTGCGGAGGCGGTGGTGGAGTCGTCGTGGGGTGTTTCTTGTGGTGGTGATGCGCGTGTGGGGAAGGAGACGGAGGCTGGGAAGAAGTGGGCTGTTGAAACGGCGGTGGAGCGGCGGTTATGACTGGAAAAAAGGGTTGATGAAGTAAGTGACGAGAGTGAAGACGTTGATCGGCCGCGGAGGAGGAAGAGAAGAAGCAGAGAACGGCAAATATGGAGCACAAGGGTATTTTAGTCATTATTTCGTTTATTCACCCAAACGCAGACACACACCTAGTTCTAGGGCTTGTTGTTGTTGTGGCATTCAAAACCTGACATTGAAGAGAAAAGACGAGAGTGTTGAAGAAGCGTTTTGGTTTGGTCGATGAAGAGAGAGAGAGAGAGACCACTAAACCAAAAGAAAAGAAAAAAAATTTGGTCTTTTCGAGGGGACTTTTTTAGAAAGAGAAATTGGAGGGAATAGTAAGTTAAGTTGATGTCATTACTGAAAAATATTTTCTTTTAACGTCTCTCTTTATTTGATTTGTGATTTTGTTTATTCCCACGTTTTATCTTATCCAAAAATAGCTTTAAATTACGTATCTGCAAAATCGAATTATTAAATAATAATCAAAAAAATAATTTAGAATCATTAATTTATTTCAGAACAACAAAATAAATATAGTACAGTCAGTGATATGGGTGTTGGGTTGGACCAATTGTTTGCAGAAAGATCGAGTTTCGATAATAATGCATGATTGCTGTAATAATTAGTAATAGACTTCTTTTCCCAACAAGATTTCTTCGATTAGGAACAATGTTTTATAGAAACGATAATGACGTGATTAGTATACTTTTCGTGTTAATTATTACTACAACCTATTAGTCAGATTTAAAAAGATCTTGATTGTGACTAGTTCACTACCTCAATGAGCTAAACATGTTATGGTTTCTTCCTCTTCTTGTTGTTGTAGTTTGAAGTATTGACATGGTGAAAAACTGAAAATGTTATGGCTCAACAAACACAGCGAAAGTCAGACAACGACCATCATCCAATTCACACAACCACAATGTTTTCTGTAAACCGAATTTATTGACACAAAACAAAGATTCGTTTTGCATAGTGAAGAAGTCTGATCAGTGATCACTGCATAGTTATACTACATATTAGTGATTACACAATTCAACCGAAATGTTAGCTTCGGTCAAAAGCAATGAATACAACAAATTCAATGTACACACAGAGCCGATCGATTGATATACATCGTGACAATAAAAAAAAGATGGCCATTGAATTTATTTGGTCGGCGGTACTAATCTCATTGTCCATCCATCCCATGACCTTATTATTATTGGATATCCAAACTTTCAAAAACCTTACAACATCGCAAAATCGTGTAATGTAAAGAGAAATATATAATGTTTTAGCAAAAAGAAACACATTTTGGTCTTGACTCTTGACTGCTATGTACACTGGCAGTGAATACAAATAATTACAAGTAACAAAAAAAAAAAAAGTGTTGGGATATGCTTGCATCATCATTTCCCACTTCTCCAAAGATTCTATCTTCTCTGTCTCTCAGAAATTTCACTTTTACTTCTTTGATTTTTTTTTTTTAATTTTTTTTTTTCAAACTTACATACACACCTCTTACTTTAATATATGGTTTTATACTACAACAATTTGAAAATCCCACTTAGGTTTGTTCAATAAAAGTACTAACTAATGATTTACTCATTTATAGTCCAAAATAGTTTATTCTAGTCATCTGAATAACTTAATCAATAAGCAACTGATATAATAATAGGTGTGGGGGGTGCAAAACATTCCCTCTGTTGACAAAAAAAAAAAAAGGTTTCATTGCGACTGTGAGGAGCACTGACCACACCATTAAAAAAGTATTGTTAATATCATCTTCAGGGGAAACACAAAAAAAGTACGTATAAACAACAAATTTGTGTTGATTACAAAGCGAACCAAAAACGACGACGTAGATAAGAATCGTCGCCTCGTCGGTGAGAAATAAATAGTCCCCGAGAGAGAGAGAGAGAGAGAAAGAGCAACAAAAACTGAGTACAGAAGAGCGTACAGAGCTACACGACGACGAAGTCTTCTTTTTTTTTTTTTTTTTTTTTTGGGGTTCATTACAGTGAAACCCGTGAATCACGCAAATCCAGAAGGTTTTCAGTGAGTCACCCCACTTTGTTTCTTCACAGACACGTGTCTGTCTTCTTGCAGTGTCTTTGTTAAATGATAAACACTCTTCTTCAACCGGCTATCTCCTGTTCCGGTTTCCCTATTTTAAATTACGATGGTTACCTTTTAAGGTCCATTTAATCAAATCCCATACAAACCTAACTGTACAAAATGAATTATGAATTATCTCTATCACTATTTATTATCGTCTTCAAGTAATATGTACATATGATTGTTTTTGCATCATTTCAAACGTGAATTTATTTTCTTATTTATGAGAACAACTTTGAAGAGAAACAATGCTATGATTTTTATGTATTTGAAAAATAATAGAAAAGTAGGTTTGACAAACAAAAAAACAATATAAAGTAGTAACGTTTCGAAACTACAGAAGAAAGTAAAAGGAGCTTATTATCATGTGTCAGTGTGATTGAAAACGAGAGATTTTCAAATTCTTTTCCAAGGCAAGTGAGGTTTATAATTACTAATTAGCATAATAAGTGAGAAAAATGTACCTTGTTTTTTATAGAGTGAATCGTGCTCCAAACGACGTGAAAAGACAAAATCTTTTGCATAGGATTAGATTTTTGTTGGAAAATTAAAGTAAAATGAAAAGGAGAAACAAAAAGTGGCAAAAATAGGAAAAGCCAAAGCCAAGTGCTCCAATATTTTGTTTCATCTACTTCTTTTTCTTTGTTTTTATTTCTAGTTTTCACTTGAATAATTCACGAAAAAAACGATTGTTGTTCCTTTTTATTATAAAGAAAAGTATCTTTAAAAAACCTTTTGTTTACTTTAAATTCATACGTAAATTTGGCATTCGTATAAGTTGGTAACCTTTTGGTATTATACTGTTATTTATTTACCAAAAAAAAAAAAGACGAGTACAAGAATTAACGAGGCTTAGGCCCATTAATAAACTATATGGGCCGTCTTCTTTTCGAAACAGTATGAGGTTTTTGTTCTTTTTGTTTTCCGATATTCCAATCAACACCGACTTTTCAGTTTTCTTTACTCCGGAATTTAATACAACACAGACTTATCAGCCCCATAACATACATTTTTAAACCAATCCATCACAATGCAACACAACCTTAGTACACACTCCTTTTGGAAATGGATTCTTTGACTATCCTATCACCCCTCTTTATTGCCATCTTCCAAAGATCCTTTAAAAATGTGATCACAGTGATCCTTAGCTTCAATGTGGAAATGGAACGAGCACCAATCCACTTAACCAAGCCTTCATCATCACGTAAAAAGTCCTACCCATACATAACACATACCATTGCTATCATTAGATCATTGATCCATCATCACCATTTCATTTCCGTCTAACTTCACGAGGATTAAGATCGAGGTATACATATAAATATAACCTCTTTTACTTTACTATATGTTGTCTAAGCTTCAGCATTCTTCATAGCTTTTTTTTTATAATCACTTCACTGCATGACAAAAAGTATTCTATGAGATTACAATTAGAGTGAATCTACCATCTCATCATTTAGTAGAGACTGCATTGTCTTGGTTTTTTTTTTAATCTATTTTCGAAGAAAACTAATTTAATCTCTAGATAATGGTGACTATAGATATATAAAAAACAATCGTTATATCATTTGGTTTAATGTCATGTTTTGCATATTATGTCATGATCATATAATACGTATCTACCATCCTTCTCTGGTTGCTGAAGAAAACGTGGCTGAATCAATCAGCACAACAAAACGCTAGAAATCACGTTTGGAAAACGTTTCGTAGATTATAAGGAAATCGAGTTTGGCCTCAAATGTCCCTCTCTGGCTTTCTTTTTCTCAATTGATCCCAGAAAGCTCTCCTCTTTTTTCACAGACCGTTAAAACCAAACCCTCAAAAAGCTTTTCCTAAATCAACAACCTTTAGAGTGTTTCCCCATTTCGATTCTTCTTCATCTCCTCGAATTTTTCTACTCTCGGCGATGGGGAAGAACCAAGCTTACAAGGCTATGCAGAGATCCAAGGTTGGCTCCAGCTCCGCCGGCCCCGATGAGATCGAAGACGGCATGGTTTGTACCCTTTCATACTACAATGATGATACCTTTTTCAAATTCGATTTCTTTCCTTCAAATTTACGATTTTTTTTGTTAGTGTTAATGAGTTATCAATCTCTGTTTGGTGTTGCAAATGAAGCATTGAGTATAAGTTAGAAAGACGTAGCAAGATTCTCCCTTTTTTTTTTACCAAGCAGGCTTATCTGGTTGACCAATTTCAGACACAGCAATTGTGGCTGTGATTTGGGATAAATTGTTCCTCTCTATGGTGTTGAAGTTATTTTATTAATCTGGCTAGATCTATCTGTTTATGCTTATTTCTTGTTACCAAAACATTTCTGATGAGGCGACTCGCAGATGGATGGTTCATTTCATACACCAGAGTGGCATGCTGCTCGTTTGGCCAGTCTCAAGACTACTCAGACTATTACTTGGGAAGAATATAAGAAGAAGCAAAAGGTATAGCTGCTGACCCGATAAATTCATGTTTTTTTTCATAGCTATCCAGAAACTTGGTATTGTCATGTAGGATTAAGTCATTGATGCTATATTGCTTAGGAGCAATACTGTCTTTTATTTAAAACTTTCACCACAACCAGTTTCTTCAATAGATCATCACTTAGAAAGTAGATCCTTTTGATTGCATATTTGCAAGTATAGTAAAGCTGATTTAACATAACATTAGATATCTGCCGCATAGCCTTCTTCTTATCTTCGACGGTTTACTTTGTGTGTATGACAGAGAAGAAATGATTCTCACTCTATATACTTTATGTGGCCGCCTTTTAGGATGAAGAATTGAAAAAGGGGGAACTTGAAGCAGATACTGATAAACTGATGCGTGAATATAGAGCTCAGCTGGATGCTGAAAGGGCACTGAAGCTGTCTAAGGGAAGGAACTATTCTAGCGATAAATCCAGGAAGGGTAGGTTGTCATACAAATATATAATAAACTTAATCTGATGGAATGTCATACAATCTGCAATTTGAGTCTTGCTTCTCTGTGTCAGACGATCTCAATTTGCGTCTATCTTCTCTGATATGCTCTATGATTTTACAGATAAGAAGGAGAGAGATCCCACAGATAAAAAGGAAAGAGATTCAAAGAGAAAGAGAAGTAAAAAGAGAAAGGTGCTTACAACAATTGCTTCTAGCTTAGTCTGAACATCTCCTATAATGTTGTTGGCATGTATCATAGCTTCTGTTAACAGGCATTCTGTGTTTACAATATACAGCATTCGAGAAGGCAATCATCTGACTCAAGCTCATCCTCTGAATCATCAAGTAGTGACGAAGAGGAATCTAGGAAATCAAGGTCAAGTTCCAAAAGATCAAAAAGGGAGAGGAAACACAAATCTAGAAGCAGACATTCAAGCCAAAGTAAAGATGAGGCTGATGGTCCTATACCGCTATCGAAATTCTTTGGCAGTCTTAAGAATTGACACATTGCAAAGACTTGAGATTTGTGTTCAGCAAATACTCAATTTGTATTGGGGTAGCTGATTTGTACTATCCTCGTCTTCCTGCAATAGTTTTAGTTCTTAGCCATCTTTTTTCGGATACAATTTGTTACGCTTGATTCAAAGTTGAAACAATGTACGCATTTCCATATGTTTTATAGAACAAGAAAGTTGACAATATTGGCAAACATGTAGAGACCAAAGGTGGGCTATCATGGCACATGAAAACTATTTCTGAGACAATTTAAGTCTTAATAGCTGCAACAACAAAATGAGGGCAAATTACAAATACGGAAAGGAAAAAAGAAGAAATTATCCAAAAGACTGAAAATAAAAAGTTTGAGCCCCATCCCATTCAAACATCTCCCACAAGTATACACAAAAGACAAACAATGATCTTTCCGCCTTTCAAGAATGTTGTCCAATCCAAATAAAACCAAACCCATGTCTCATCTTCATCTCCCAAATGTTGTTCTTCAAACTATTGATGATATTCTGGATTGAAAGCAAGCGCCTCACGGTAGATAAGTTCCTTCATCTGCTCCTCTGAGAGTGCATGGTTTTCAAAATCAAAGTTGAAAGGTACCGTACACTCTGGTTCATCGCTTATGTCGTGCAACGAGTTCAGGTATGGATGAGCCAGTGCGTCTAGAACTGAATCAAGAATCAAGAAGAGGTGATGACTACTAACTCTTAAATAATCAAGAACTCTTTATTATTTCTTCACTAGATTGAATCCCTCTCGGGGCTTTTGGAATATCCATACAAGAAATTCCAGTTATTTTGCAGATTTAAAATGGTATAGAGGTACGGGACTGACCTGTGATTCTCCGTCGAGGATCAAATGTTAACATCTTCTCGATAAGGTCTATAGCTAAAGGATGCACTGTCGGGAACTTATCGGTGATGGATTGGCGAGGATAAGGTGGAAGCTGTCTGATGTATCGCTTTGCGTTTTCGTTCAAGAACTCAAGCTCTTCTTCTGATGGAGTTCCTATGAGCTGCAAAAGAAAAAATATTGTCTCAATATGTTTCTTACGTGTACAATTTTGAGACTTATTTTTTTTATCAAAGAAGGGTTACCACTTACCTCCATGAGCAAGCGAAGCTGATGGACATGATCTCGTCCAGGGAAGAGTGGTTTACGGTCCATTAACTCCATGAAAATACAGCCTACAGACCAAACATCGATAGCTGCAGTATAATCAGAAGAGTTTAAGAGAAGCTCTGGTGCACGGTACCATCTTGTGACAACATATTCAGTCATGAAATCACTCTCGGAAGTGACTCGAGCTAGTCCAAAATCGCAGATTTTTAGGTCGCAGTTTGCGTTCAGGAGGAGATTACTTGGTTTCAAATCCCTGTGAAGAACATTTGCGGAATGGATGTATTTCAATCCACGGAGGATCTGGTAAAGAAAATACTGCACAAAGAAAAAAGGGAAATAGAGTTGAGTAGTCCACGTTATCAAGTCAAGTTATAGGTTAATAAACAATCTCAAAACTCAAAACCTGGCAATGTTCTTCAGATAATGCTTGATTGGACCGTATGATTTGATGGAGATCAGTGTCCATTAGCTCATACGCGATGTAAACATCGTTGAACACATTCCTTAAAGGTGGGGGGATTATGTCTCTGATTGCAACAATCTGATTTAAGAAAAACAGGTAACTGTTTTATTAATCGGAAATGGTTTACAGTTTAAACGTTGTAATACGCCAACATAGAAATACATATATATTATGCTATTCGATTCCTAGAAATTAGGATCTTTACGCAGATGGAAAACATTATACTACCAAATAAGCATTAAACCATCTGTATCAAATCGAAGAAAATGCACGCACAATACTGTCAACATTCTTGTATAGTCCCTTAAATCTAAATATTGTGAGCAACCACCAGCTACAAACACATTCATGCACAAAACCTAAGTAACATATACAATATGAATCAAAGAGTAATAGAATTTGTGCAAAATCCATCTGTTATTCACCTAAACGTTTAAGTGTATCTAACTAGTGGTTACCATTTTTCAAGTGTATTTAAATCTCCAATCCTATTACGCTCTACATAAGGCTATAAACATACGAGATTCTAAGTTAAAAAAGAAGGAACACAATGACTTTTTTTATAATACAAACTCACATTTTCGTGATCCATATGACGAAGCAGCTTGATCTCGCGGAGAGTCCTCTTTGCATCAATCTTATTGTCGAAAGCGTTAGCGATTTTCTTAATTGCAACGCTCTCGTTCGTTTCAGAGTTCATAGCCGAACTGCAAAATCAAATAAAACACAGAGACACATTAAAAGGATAAATCTTTCATTGAAGAAAACCGTATTAAATACCAAACCCCATCATACTAAAGCTCAAAACGATACACCCATCAATCAATTTTACAAATTTCGGATCAAAAGAACGCAACTTTACCAAACCCAATCATCAAAATCATATCTTTTATCCAATTAAAAGCCAAAATCAAGAAATTTGAAACAAAGAATCGGAGAAAATTACCAAACGATGCCATAAGCACCCTTGCCAATGGGCATGATCGGAGGCTTATACTTAGCGGTGACCTCGAAGATGTTTCCAAATATGTTGTACTGGATAAACCTACCACCATGGCTAAGAGTCGCCGGAATATTCTCAATCCCAGGCATCTGAGGCGGTGGCTGAGAAGGAGGCGCGGCAGAAACACCACCAGGAGCATCCGTCATCTCTGTATCAGCCGCCGGTTGACCCGAACCACCGTCCATGACCGGTAAAGATGAAAGCTTTTGGGTTGGTGTGGATCGAGGAAGAGGGAAATGGAAAATCTTGTTTTTAATTTGGGGTGAGTGAATACGAATGAATGAAAAGGGAAAAAAGTTTGATATACTTTGGTTTTGGGGTCAAAACAGATCTGAGAGAGAGTCATGTGCGTGTGTGCGTTATATATGTACGGATCTATTAATGGGTTTTCTTGGGTCTTCACTTGACCCGTGTGTAAGCAAAGTATGCCACTGTTCAAAGTTTGATTCTCTTTTTTTCTTTCAAGTTTTTATGATTTTACACTGTTAAAATTATAGTATGCTGTTAAAAATTCCTTGATTTTTCCATTGACTCCTACTGATATGTTTATACAATCACCATTTTTTCGTTGACTTTCTTGCTTCTACAAATTCCTTGTTTTATTAACAAGTCATTAAAAAAAAACATATTGTTAACAAGTTAATAACATTATCTTTGAATGTTAATGTTGGGTAAAATCAAACCACAAATAAATGTAGTTATTGTCATTGATATTGTTTTGTTCGGTTCTACTTATTTTCGCGGTATTTTTTAAAATATCATAAAGTTTACGTGGATTGAAAGGCACGTAAAAAATATTAAATTCTAAAAAATATTAATTAGATTTTCATAAATTCATCGAAATTCCGATCAAATTGGCGATTAACCGTTACATTTTAAATGAAAAAGATCAAAGAATTTGTATTTTGATAGTGTGATTGAGGTCATAACATTGAAACATGCATAGCTGTGGGCTATTTTGATTTTTAAAACAATATGGTGGTTCAGTTTAAAATTATTCCAAAATTACAAGGATCTTATCAGATATTTTTCACAAAACAAAGCAATAAACCTCTTCTTCTATTGTGTTACAGTTAGGTTCGAACAGGGGACGGCTTGTTTTCTGCATCGATCCCTCTTTCACTACTTGGGTTTAGGGTTTTGATAGATAGGCAAGTGGCCACGACACCGAGCGTCACCGAACCAGTTGTCACCTAAATACGAAACCTTTAGGCTTCTGTCGCATTGGGCACATTTCTCTGTAGAAGGAAAGAAAAATATTCAGCTTTCTGTATCTACCGGATTTTCGAGTAATCAGCGAAACGTAAAGCACCAGGTTCCCTTCGATTCCATTTCAATTTTGTGATCCTTGGAATAATTTGTTCAAAAGAACCAAATTTTCATTGATATATTCTGCTCTGGTTTCATTTTTGGCATTTTGATCTGAGAACTTGCATCGGTTGGGATCAAAAGATGCTAGCTTTGGATGTGTAGATGTAGAATTAGAGCTTATAATGCCTGTTTTTTCTGCTTTAATTTTGACTGTGGCTGATGATTGATGGTAATTATTGATTGAAGCTAAAAAAGCATCTGATTTGCGTTGACTATTGATCTGCTCCTATTTTGCCATAGTGTTTTGCAATCTTCAGTTGTTCACACCATGATCATCTTTGATTTTGTTGTGCTTAGCAGTGTCACTATGTCTTGGCTTTGTAGTTCTTCGGATGAGCATTAACAATTGGGAGGGTCTTTATATTCAATCGATTTAAATTTTTCTGTTTTCATCATATGAACAATATGTCAATGATCTGCGATGCCTTAGGGCTTCTGGAGTCTCACTTCTACATTGTTAAAAGGAGTAACTAGAAGTTGTTATTTGCATGCTTCTCTTTTGTTACTCATCCTACTATTTATGAAACTGTGATTGTGAAGATTGAACATTGTTACTCATCATACTTGGGTTTCTCTGTAACATGTGACAATTTTACACTTTCTTGAATCTTGCAGGTTAAAGACTTTAACAATGGCAGGATTTCCAGGTTTTAGTCACCTTGGTCCAAAAAGCAAGAACGTGGTTGTAGCGGGTGGATTAACGGCTTTTGTTTTTGGGGTATACTTCTACACAATGAGGGCTGTTGGTGGCACGGACGAACTTCAGGTGGCCATTGACAAGTTTGAAGGCCAAAAACAGGTTGAGACCGATAACAAGGTTCCATCTAAGGTCTAATCCTCACCGGCTCGATATGCCCCAACTAAACCCGTTGTTCATCTTTGTCTTCCAAGTTCTTTACTTCACGAGTTTGGCTCGTTTGTTTCCGACATGAATTGGTATCTGTGTTTGAGTCTCAGTCCAATCCCTAATACAGTGTTTAAACAAGAGAACGTCTGATCAGGACATGGTTTTAATGTTCTTCACATTATTGTGGTAATTGTCAACTTTATCATAATCTTGTACCTAAATGTTTGGCTATACATAAAACTCTGTTGAAGGTTCGTTACCCACTTTGTCTGGCTCAAAGATGAAAGGTGATGGGTTGTTTTGATAAAAAGAATAGTATCGGGTTCATTCTGACATTACTTAGAAAATACAAAGGTTTTATCAGTAATTTGCAAATAAATAAACACGATCGAAAGAGAGGAATAGAAATCTGAATCTCTCTCGTCCTCTTTCTCGCGAGCTTTTGTTTTTTTCTCTGGGTTTAGGGTTCCGGTAACTTTGCAAACGACATCGAGCGATTCGTGCCTCTTTCCCCTTCCGTCGACTTCGGTACGTTATTTTTTTTCTCTGTAACGAGCGATGTTAGGGTTTCTCTAGTAAGCGATTTCGTTCTGTGAAGTCGTCTGCTGAAAAATTTTGGTATCTATTAACCTTTTTTTTCGTCAACTCGTCACTGTCTTATACGTAATTGGAGCTGGGTTAGGAATTTTTGTTTCGAGGTTGACGAATCGGGCTCTTAGCTTCTAGATTTGTAGCTGTTTTCTCGGATTCTATTTGATGTAATAGAGCTACAGGTATCAAAATTGATCTGTGAAACCTGGCGTGAATTCCTTTTTAGTATCTGGTGTAAGACCTCAAGCTTTAGAGAGGTTTTGATTGTTTTATGATATTCGTTTATTCTCAAGCGTAAGTATCTCAAACACAATGGAAACGAAAGGTAATTGGCATCTAGTACTCTAGTAATGAGACAGTTAGGCTCATGTTGCTTTTGTAGGCTTTTAGTTGAGATGTGCAGGTTTTCTTATTCTTCTTGGTGTTTAGTATTTTGATATTTGGATCCAACATTTGTAATGTAGCATTCTGATATAATCTTATCCTTTTTTCTCATGGCATTCAGGTTCAACTTGGTTTACAGTTAAAAGGAGGCTAAGATGGAAATCATGCCAAGAGAGAATGAAAACGCTTTGTCAGGTCCTAGGTCGATGGAATGGTCTACTGTCCCACACAATGCTCCTCAAGGACCTGGTCCCAATGGCAAGAACCGGACATCGAGCTTGGAAGCACCTATCATGTTACTAAGTGGACATCCGAGTGCTGTGTATACCATGAAGTTCAATCCAGCTGGAACTCTAATTGCATCAGGGTCCCATGACAGAGAAATCTTCCTCTGGAGAGTTCACGGGGACTGCAAAAACTTCATGGTTTTGAAAGGTCACAAGAATGCAATCCTTGACCTTCATTGGACCAGTGATGGCTCCCAGATTGTATCAGCCAGTCCAGATAAAACTGTAAGAGCATGGGATGTTGAGACTGGGAAGCAAATCAAGAAGATGGCTGAACATTCGTCGTTTGTGAATTCTTGCTGTCCTACACGTAGAGGACCACCGCTTATCATCAGTGGATCTGATGATGGAACTGCTAAGCTTTGGGACATGCGTCAAAGAGGAGCCATACAAACATTTCCTGATAAATACCAAATCACAGCCGTCAGTTTCTCTGATGCAGCTGATAAGATTTTCACTGGTGGTGTAGACAATGATGTTAAAGTTTGGGACTTGCGTAAAGGCGAAGCCACAATGACACTTGAGGGCCATGAAGATACAATCACTGGTATGAGCTTAAGTCCAGACGGTTCCTACCTTCTCACCAATGGAATGGACAACAAGCTCTGCGTGTGGGACATGCGTCCTTATGCTCCACAAAACCGATGCGTAAAGATCTTTGACGGGCATCATCACAACTTTGAGAAGAACCTACTCAAATGTTCATGGTCACCTGATGGTACCAAAGTTACTGCTGGTAGTGCAGACCGTATGGTTCATATATGGGACACAACAAGTCGGCGCATTCTGTACAAGCTCCCCGGCCATACTGGCTCTGTCAATGAGTGCGTTTTCCACCCGACTGAGCCTATCATTGGGTCTTGCAGTAGTGATAAAAATATCTACTTGGGAGAGATCTGAAGTTTAAAAGCTGTGAGACCTTAGCAACTCTAAATATCTACTTGGGAGAGATCTGAAGTTTTAAAGCTGTGAGACCTTAGCAACTCAATTTGAAATTGAAGTCTTTAGATTCAACGATGTGCTTTAAGACATTTTGTTTATTAAGAGTAAAAACGAAACATTGCTCTTTTGCTACAAGTAATCAAGAAGAATATTTGTTATCTCCTGTAATATCTTTATGGTCTTCATCTTCTTCTACTCTAACTTTACTTCCACAGCAACCTCTTCTATGTTCTTCAGTTACAGGTTTCTTCACTAAGCTGTCTCTTTTCTCTGCGAGCTCCAATCTTTTCTCCATAAACTCAGAATTCTCCTTCCAAATCTCTCCATTAGTGTAAACCTCTTTCTTCCAAATGGGAACTGATGCCTTCAGCTCATCAATTAAGAACTTGCAAGCATCCAAACCATCCGCACGGTGAACAGATGAGACAGCGATGAACACACTGGTTTCTCCAACAGGAACTGGTCCCAGACGATGAGCAACTGCAATCTTATGAATGTCCCAAGTTGATCTAGCGGTTGTACAGATCGTGCTGAGGCATCGTGTGGCCATCGGCACATATGCTTCATACCTTAGCTCCAACACTGTCTTGCCCTCGAACATGTCTCTTGTAGTGCCTGAGAATGTCGATATAGCACCAGCTTGAGGGGCACTGACATAGTCAATGTACTTAACAACATCAACTTTGTGACCTTCCTCCAAGATCTCTATAAGGTTCTTCTCCTCTGCAGACATCTTTGTCCCAATGATACAGGAACCTCCTGAATAGTAAACCTCAATACAAACGATGTTCTAAGAAGAGTGATCAGAGCTTAACAGATGATCCAACCACAAATTCTAATCTGCAATTAGAGAAAAGTGACAACAACTATGAATATCCCATTTATTATCATCGAAAACTAATTAAACAGACAATTTGCAAAGTCAAAGGCAAACAGAGCAATAGATAATAGTAACTATTATCATAATAGCAATCACAGTTTTTACTGGCAGAAAAATACGAATTCATTCATCTTCGTAATCCAGAAATGGAAGAGTCAAACCAACACAAACTCAAAAACTATGGAAGAAGAAATAGCCAAATTCGAATCAGACTAGAAAACAAACGCACAAAAACTCGTCTAAGACTGACCAAAATCCAGAGCTTTGCCAAAATCCCAAAATCCAATCTGGGTTCGAGGTTTTCTAGATTGAGGATCGAATGGATAGAATCACAGAAACACAGAGATAACGACAAACAAGAATCGTCTCTTTCAGTACCTTTTCTACACTAAAAATTGATACTTTTCTCTGTTTCGAAAAGTTTGTAATAACTTTAACAGCTACACAGAAATTAAAAGAAGGCAAAGAACAAAACAAAAGAGATCCTGAAAGATTTTACTTGACCTTTGAGAGTTTGGTAGGGTAGCATGATGAAGATGAACATGTGCTCTATATTCACCTCCTTATCAGATTAGTAGGTAGGTGAGATTGTCAAACAAAAAAAAACAAACCTTTTCTAATTTTTATCTCAATTTTTTTTTATAGTCTCTGCTTTTCTCCAGATGCTCTGTTTTTACCATTCAAAGAAAAAAGATAAAATCCTGTAAAAAGATGCCAAATCTATTAAATTTTTTGATTATACATCCTATAGCGACGTCGTTTGGAAGCTACAGTGCGATCCAATCAGTGTCTTCAAGTTTAGACTGCATCTCTTGTCTCTCTCTTCTTCTCCTCTGTGTTCCACTGTATAATATTCGGAAAGTGAGGAAGATACATTGAAGCAGAAGATCAAGTTATGGCGGCGACATCTTCCTCGGCTTTTCTCCTTAATCCGTTGACTTCTCGACCTTTCAAATATTCGCATGGGCTCTCTTCTGTCTCCTTATCCTCTAGAAAGGCGGCTACTTTCGATGTTTCCTCAGCTGCTTCCACGCTCAAGAGACAGAGCCGGAGGTGTTGCGATGTTGTGTGCAAGGCTGTGTCCGTCAAGCCCGAAGCTGGCGTTGAAGGGCTCAATATCGCCGAGAATGCTGCTCAGGTTAGATTGGGGGGTTTCTTTGTGAGTTGTGTTTCGATTTCATCTGTATAGAGATAGAAGGAAGCTAAATTGAGTTACATCTGAGCATTAGGCTTGTGAATTTTCTTTTTATCTATGTTTGACTTTTGCTTTCGTTGTCTAATCTGATTTTCTCAAAATTGATTCAGCTTATTGGGAAAACTCCAATGGTGTACTTGAACAATATAGTCAAGGGTTGTGTTGCAAGTGTTGCTGCTAAGCTTGAGATTATGGAACCATGTTGCAGTGTCAAGGATAGGTATTGTGTTACCGATTTGTTTTTGGGTTAGCCATCTTCACATATCTATGCTGATCTACTGTTGCTATGGTGAATGGTGATTTCAGGATTGGGTATAGTATGATCACTGATGCTGAAGAAAAGGGACTTATAACACCTGGAAAGGTATTTGATGATGGATTTTCCCTTTCATGTTGTTGTTAAGACTTAAAGAATGAATTGAGAAAGCATTGGTGAATTATTCTACATTCAGTGTCACGACCTCTGATTTTCTTTTTTTGCTGCTTATTTTTAGAGTGTTCTTATTGAATCGACGAGTGGAAACACAGGGATTGGCCTTGCATTCATTGCTGCTTCAAAAGGCTATAAACTTATCTTGACGATGCCCGCGTCCATGAGTTTGGAAAGGCGGGTTCTTTTGAGAGCATTTGGAGCTGAGCTTGTTTTAACTGAACCTGCAAAAGGCATGACTGGAGCAATTCAGAAGGCTGAAGAAATCTTGAAGAACACTCCTAACTCCTACATTCTCCAACAGTTTGACAACCCTGCCAACCCCAAGGTCTGTAATTACTTATTTTTTCATAATATTCCACATGTGACATGAATCATGAGCTACTGCTATCCATCCCTTTGAACCATAAGAGGAGAATATGAAAGGGTTTGTTAGGGAAAATATAGAAACTCTTGTGCATTTCTTTTTACTATTTATCAAGATTACTGTTTGTTGTCTATGGTATATAGGATTGAATCATCATGACAGCTATGGAAACTCTCTGGTTCCATTTATTTATGTTGCAAGTATCTGCTACTGTATTAATATAAAGAATATGCAGATTCACTATGAGACGACTGGTCCTGAGATCTGGGAAGATACAAGAGGCAAAATCGATATATTGGTTGCGGGGATTGGAACTGGTGGAACTATCAGTGGTGTTGGTCGTTTCATCAAAGAAAGAAAGCCTGAATTGAAGGTATATAGCAAGGGGGATTGTAGCATCTCAACTGGAATATATATGTAGATGTTATAAAGTCTGTAACTAGAGATAGGTTTGTTCAATTAAATAGTAAAAGTTATATTTAGTTTGCTGATGTCTACGTGTACCAGGTTATTGGTGTAGAACCCACGGAAAGTGCTATACTTTCTGGTGGAAAACCAGGTAAGGCAGTGATTTTGTTTCTCTGACATGTTACTCTTGTTATCTTGAGTTTATTTGACAAGTATTTGAATTGCAGGACCTCACAAAATTCAGGGAATTGGAGCTGGATTTGTACCTAAAAATTTGGATTTGGCTATTGTAGATGAATACATAGCGGTAAGATCTGTTGGTTTGGTTCTCTAATATTATTCAGTCATCTTGTTCACTTTCAGCAAGACACTAATTTCCCTTTTCACTTGTCGGTTGACATACAACTAAAACTGGCCTGGGCATAAAAGAGTACGATCCAAACTTCACCTGTTTCCTTGCTTCTTAGCAGATTTCCAGTGAGGAAGCTATTGAAACTGCGAAGCAACTAGCCCTCAAGGAAGGCTTATTGGTTAGTTTATTTTTGTTATTCTGTTTGACTTATTTCTCAGTGTGAACCGTCTTCATAGAAATATAAAACGAATGTGATTGCATATGAGAAATCTGTGACGATTAGTGAAAAATTATAACATTCTCAGGTTGGTATATCTTCTGGAGCTGCTGCTGCTGCTGCAATCCAGGTTGCAAAGAGACCTGAAAATGCCGGAAAACTCATAGCTGTAAGTTCTCAATACCACACCCGAGTCCTGTGTCCGTGACCAAGCACTGGATGGTATAAAAAAAGAGTTCTTAAGTTATCTAATCATGAACCTTGGTCTTTTTAGAGTCTTGCTACTTATTTTAACCTTTGTAATTTTCTAAGTAGTTGGTTTGGCTTAAACGTCTGATGAACATTTACATTGCATTAATCTCATTGCAAAGAACAAGAGAGAAGCTTATTATTCAATTATTATAGCCCAAAAGAGGGAACCAGTGAAACCATTTTAGCTTATTATGGAGTTAACAGATTCATCATGTGTAGATTAAAAATATTGAGATGTGAGTTGATGAATCTTGGTTTTCAGGTTGTGTTCCCGAGCTTCGGGGAACGTTACCTCTCGACCCAGCTTTTCCAGTCGATTCGAGAAGAGTGCGAGCAAATGCAGCCTGAGCTTTGAGTTTCTTTTGTAATTTCTTGACGAACAAAGACCATCTTCTGTATTTTTTTTTAGACGTATTTAATAAAGAAGGCTTTTTTTTTTTTTTTGTCAACTAATAAAGAAGGCTTTAAACCAGCTAGATTAACATTTAAATATTTTACAAGGATAATACTGTATATATTTACAATTTCGGTCTATTAATAATTTTTAGATAATAGAGTATTCAAACAAGTGTACCCTGTGGCTTATTTCTTATACATACAGCGATGATCAGAGGGGAAAAGTTATTCATGTGAGTATACTTACTGGGACGATGGGGGTGGAGAAGAGGTGATGGGTGACGATGTTTGGGATGACAAGGGACGCACCATGATCTCTCACATATATGTTGCTTTCGAAGAATTCATAATGTCTATTCAGTTTGGCTATTTGGAGAAGGGAGCTCTAGTCCTGTCTGAACGGTATGGTGGCTTCGAGGATGGATCCAACTTTCGTGTTATAAGTTTCGTCTCACTAATTATTATTTTTATTTTAATTATTATTTTGCGTTGGAGTAAGATCCGGTCAGGTTAAGTTTCTGATGAAGTTTAATCGCAGTTGAGACTGAACCAAGACGAATATATAACTGGACTAAGTGGAGTACTAGGAAAAGGTGATGTAGGAATAATAAATTTGACATTTGTTACTAACCGTGGGGAGTACTTGATTGGAAGACCAAGCGACAACTATCCAAGTGGTTCCAAAAGAGAAATTTATCCGGCAATATGTGATCGACGTGAGTAGCCCTGGGCATATAATCCGGATCCGACAAAACCGATCCGAACCGATCCGAAAAATCCGATTTGGATCGGTTTTGGTTACTATGTAAAAACCGATCGGATTTTATGTTGAACATGATTCGGATTTCGGATTTAAACCGATCCGAACCGAAATCCGATCGGTTATCTGCTAACCCGAATACACATGGTCTAATACATCACATAGTATACATATAATCTCTATGTTTTTGTCCTTCAACACTCAAACCTTTTTTTTACGTCGGATTGTTCGAATTTAGAGTGTAAGTTTCGGATTTATAGTGTAGAATCCGAATCCGAAACCGATCCGAAATAGGATTCGGTTTAAACTCGGATTCGTAATAAAATTTGAAAACCGATCCGAATCCGAAAAAATCCGAACCGATCCGATCCGAAACCCAGTCGGATTCAAATCGGATTCAATATATCCCAATCCGAAAAATTCGAACTCCGAATAATCCGATCCGATCCGATCCGAAAATCCGAACGCCCAGGGCTAGACGTGAGTTTGGTGGTTTCTTTGGTATTCCTAAAGAAAATGCCTCAATTGTTTACTAAATCTAGTGTTTATATATGGGAGCCAAGAATTTTTTTGGGCTTACGAATTCTAGATACAGACGGAGAATAAAAAGGCTTTAATCTTAAATCTTTGAAAATCGGAATTTTAACTTGTTAGCAAAGAAACCAGCTAAAGACTGGAAAAGATAAGCGACTACTCCTGAGCTATTCGTGCAAGCATTTGTCAGTGCATTAACAATTACAAGTGTTCGAGTAATTGCGTCTGACCAAAATCAATGTCGTCTCACTAACTTTTGATTAATTAGGGGATGTAAAAGAGGTTTTCTTTAATACCTACCTTTAAAATAAATAAATAAAAGATGTAAAATAAAAGATTTTAAAAAGGCTTTTTTTTTGTCACAAAAAAAAGGCTTTAAATATACAACTCGTGATCTTAAAATTAATAAATTAGTTAGGATTATTCGAATGATTGTTAAACCACCGATCATATCTGTTTACCTTGGCTTGTTTCTTCAAAGCCTATTTAGACTTTTTTTTTTTTAACTCAAAAATTCTAGAGGCGTAAGGAAAATAAAAAAAGGCTTTAACTCTTAAATCTTTGGGAAATTAATTAGCATCTTTAACTTGTTAGTAAAGAAACCAGCTAGAGTAGGTAAATAATAAGTAAAAAGTAAATAACAAATATACGCAAGAAAAGGATAATATTTATTTGTTATACATTTTTGGTCTTTTGAATTTAGTAAATTTACCTTTTCCTAATTAATTTACATTTTTGTTTAAGGAAGTTTTCTTAGAGAAATTGATGTAAAGCTTTTATATATATATTACTGGTCTATAAGTATGGATCGATGAATTCTCTTAGTAAAGAAAAGAGTATTCCGATCGACTTCCGAGCTTAATTCTTTCGACTGGTGTATTCGAAATGATACAATTTCGTAAAAGGAAGATGTTCAAAGTCGGACCAATTGGGTCAAAACTCTTTGATACAAGTTGGGACGAGAAGGGACGAGAAGGGACGTAACATGATATCCAATATATATGTTGCTTTCAACAAATATAAAATACATTCTATTCAGTTTAGCTATTTTCAGAAGGGAGGTCATGTCGTGTCTAAAAAGTACGGTTCGTCCAAAGAAGGTGAATTCTCCTACGAAATTGTAAGTTTATATCTTCATGTTTTTGCTTCTCTCATTATTATGATAATTGTATATATATATATATATATATGGTGTATCTAAATATTTTGTTTCAATAATTAACATTTTGTTGTTTACAATGTATAGTTTGTTTTTGTACTTAGCTTGTTCATGATTCCCAAAGCTAAAGCAAATTTATTCAATAAACAGGTTAGACTTAATCACGATGAGTATGTGACTGGGCTGAGTGGAATATGTTTTCAAGGAAGGGTCACGTCTTTGACATTTTACACTAACCAGAGGAAACACGGGCCGTTTTGTGATCAATATTCATCAAATTCTCTTATAAATTCATCATATAAGAGGGAAATTGATGTGGGGATACGTGATCGTCGTGAGTTTGGTGGTTTCTTTGGTTCTTATGATCAATATGGAATGTCATCCATTGGGATCTATGTTTATCCCACGTACGATAACGACTTCCCTCTCAATGAACCTGTCAGAACTAGGGCCGTCCCTGAGCCCAGCGAGGTGCAACATGGGATTAAAACCAACTACAAAGTCACCGAAGTCACCGATGAAGACGACGACCAGCTCACTCTCTACCAATCAACATCCTTTAGCCACAAATCAGAATCAACCATAATGGGACGCTTGAATATCAAATGCCTAATGAGGTCTAGCTCCGATGATAATCATGCCAAAGACATCGTTCATAAGTTTGAAGACAAGAGCAGTCTCTACCAAAAAGCTGACTGATCTTGAATATCAAAATGCCTAATGAGGTCTCCGATGGATATTCTCCAAGTTAGGGTGCATTTTCTTGGACTAATTAGGTTTTCTTTTCTATTTCTTAATCAGTTGTGGTAGTGTTCAAAGAGTAGCCTAGTTCAAGTTGCTGTTGAGTTTTTATCTTAAATAAAGTATAGCTTTAATGAAGCAATGTCTTAGTTAATGAAGCAATGTCTTAGTTTCATCTTTCTATATGATCTCAACTCTGAGTTTATCAAGAGTAGCCTAGTTCAAGTTGCGTGTCTTTTAGTTTCACCTTCTTCTTTTTTTTATTCACAACTCACTATAAGTAATAAAATGTCCTCATTTTCTTCTTAATGTTTTCTTTGTCAATTGTGTGATCCATATTTCTGATCTAAAACGAAATATATAATGAAAAAATCAAAGAGCTGAGTTGCTTTAAGCAGCCCCCACTGTATATCGTTCATGGATAAAATCTAATGTTCCTAGCTGAACTGATATAAGACCATGCACATCGGTATAATCGTCCCTCAACATATATTTTTCTTCTTTTTTTTTTCAATTTTTCAATTTTTTTTTTAAAAAAAACAAAACCAATTGCGGACCGCCACGTATCAGTGGGCCCGCGAATTGTAAAGAAAGAAGAGATAAGACCGTCCCGTTTTCATTGACGTCCTTCTTGTTTTGTTTTTTTTTTTTTTATAGTAAAAATAGGTGGAGGGACGCTGGCTGCATACGCCGATGCATCTGCCCTAAAGATTAAAAACAGAATAGCGTAGTTTAATTTGTTCATACGGATCTAGAATTACAATAAAAGCCTAATAGGCTCCTTTATGAGAAGTGAACATGGAAACCCAAAATCAATGAAATGGGCCTACTGTTTTACCCAACGGATCCCAACTGTTGCTAAATAGAAACATTTATGTGATCCGATTTCCACTTTTTTTTTTCCGTTTTGCAGCATAAATTGGAGGAAAAAAGGAAAGTTTGTCCAAAGAAGAAAATAAAAAAGGAGAATATTGTCCTGAAAAAAAATAGAAATTAAAATTGGAAAAAAGGAAACAAAAGAAGTTTTCCTTTTTTTGTAGTGAACAAACCTCTATACAGCTTTATATATACACTCTCATCTCTTACTCTTCACCTGAGAAATCATATAATGATCCTCAGACAATCCAAAACAAAATTCATCTCTCTTTCTTCTTCTTTTAGTTTATCTTTCTAATAGCTAGTTTCTTCTGGAGCGAACAAGCTCTGCGAGTCTCTTAAGATGGCCGCTGTTCTCGAGACTATGAAGGCGAGCGATGATCCATGTATATGTATTGTGCAGGTCTGCTTCCCTATCTTCCATTGTCCATGTACATATTCATATATCTCCATTGAGATAACCCAGATTGTGTTTGGTTTTACAATTTCCGCAGACTTGTATTAACGTCGTTTATGGTATGGATTCTCTTTATGAAGGCTTTGTTTGTTTATGAAGCCTTTCTTCTTACTTTATTTATATAATATTGTACTCTCTTTTTGTGGTGTTTGCTGGAATGAGAGGGATGACTGGATTACTCTGGGAAACCTCATTACTTGATGCAGATGAGGTATTGATAATACTTTTTTTATTCTTATAGATTACCGTCTAGTCAATTTTGTAACTAATGCTCTTCATTTTAACTGTTATTGTAATGATCTTATCTTTTACTGCAGGGTATACGCTTTAGGGGCATGTCGTTTCTTGAATGCCAGAAAGTATTACCTTCACCTCAATCTAGAGTAGAGCCCTTGCCTTGCTGTGGCTTTTATTAACCGGAAAGGTTGGATTATCTTTAACATTTTTATGCATAAATGGTCACAGGAATGTATCATACAAATTGTTTCGTGGAAATTATGATCTTAAAGGTATAGTCTTACCTCTTTTCGATATAGGTTCCAAGCAAAGAGCAAGTAGAGGCGTTGTCAAAAGAGTTGGCTCATTTGTGCGGCTGTGCCAGGTTTGTAGTTCATGTGTATGCTCTGTTTTTTTTGTGACCTCTAGTTTCATGACTCATCAAATCTTAGCAAAATTAGTCGATTGAAAATATAAACTGAATACTAGTTGTCATTGTTGCAAACATAATTCTACTTTGTACTTAATTTTACACTGCAGATTATGTTTATAAAGCTATAGATGCTCTGCCTTCGACGGCTAATCCAATGACTCCATTTGCTAGAAGGTATTATGATCCTTCTGGTGGATGGCTCTGTTATTTACTAGATTGGTCTATGGTCTTATTCTGTTGAATTGTTGTCCAGGTTCAAAGTGAGTTTCTGAAGACATATGAAAAGGGTGATGTTCATTAGTCAAAGTACGAACTTTACATATTTTCAGTTACTTCTTGATTGCCTTGTAGTAGCAGGCATCATAAAAACTGAGTTTTTCCTCGCAAATTCTGGGAGCCAACCTATAAGGATGCCATAAAATTGTTTGTTCGTGTCCCTGTTGTAGCTTCATATGTTTATTGGAGGTACTTTTCCAATGCCTTCTTCGGGACTTATTAGTTGTTACAACAGTCACTGTTCTTAAATTAACATTCTAATTAACATTGCAGGATGTAATGGTGACATCATTCCATTGATTCTTTGGATTCTTTTACAAATTTTTCACACATTGCTGGGATATGATAGTCCTCAGATGAAAGAGCTCATGAGACTTTATGTCACCATACGAACGAAAGAAAGCATGAGGCCTTTCATAACAAATCCAAATCTGGTCGGAGAGGACGTGAGAGGTTTGAGTTCCATGCTGAAATACATGACCGCCGTGAGTTTGGAGGTTTCTTCGGATCTCTCGGGTGTACACCCTACTATTAAGCAAGAAGAAGGCGCATGATCCAGTGCTCTTTTGTTAATCTTCAGAACTCTTGTATTCTTTGTTTCGTTTCATTTTCTGAATAAAGAACTTTTACAATTTATGTTATGCTAACGACATTTAAAATAATTTTCCACAGATGATCAGTCTCAACAACAATTAATTTAATTTCTCTGTTTGATAGGATGTATTCGAGTTTGTTGAGATCAATAAAATATAAATTCTACGATTCTAGAAAGAGTCGCTATTTTAGAGTATATTGTTACGGATAATCTCAGTCTGTGATTGACAAAGCTTTCTTCATTCTTTGGACGAGATCAGGCAGAGTCTTCATAGCTTCATCAACAGTTTGGTTCACACACTGCTCCAGACCATTTACAGCTTCATTTCTCGTCTTCTGAAGCTTAGCAGCCTCAAACTTGTCTTGACAAACCACAAGAGATCTATTCAACATATCCTACATACATCAATAAAAATCAAAACATAAACATGAATAGGTAGTGATGTCTAGTACTCAAAACTAAGCTATTGTCCTGAGATATAGAGAATCGAGGAAACAATAACCTACACTACCACCTTCATAAACACATTTGAAAAACGAAAATATAAGACTTCAACACTCATGTACAACTGAAAACTTTGCACTGCACCAACCTCTAATTGAACAAGAAAAAGAGTTAAAGAAATAGACTCACTTGAAACACAGACATCTCATCATCGAAGTGGTTCTGCGCATCTGTGATAGGAACACTGCAACTCTCTGCACATCGGCTAATCTCAGGGTGTGTTCTTGTCATATCAAAGCATTCATATGCACATTTGAAGTATGCCTTCTACAACATCCAAAAAGCACAAAGCATACTCTTAGATTATCTCAGATTAAGCAAAGGAAGTATACATAAAGAATCTAACTTCAGGAATTTAGCTACTAGGAGAGAGGAAACTGAGTCTAGGGTCTGTAAAATTCACTTTGTTTTGACAATTTTAGCAAGAACACATCAAATTATCAAAACTTTTTGAATGAGAGAGAGAGAGAGAGAGAGAGAGAGAGAGAGAGAGAGAGAGACGAACTTGAAGGGTGAAATTGATGTGGTCTTGTACTGGAGAAAGAAGAGACTGCGAGACAGAACTGACTTCGTTAACTCTCTTTCTGATTCTCTCTCTCACCAACTTCTCCTCCGCCGTCTGATCCATTCTTTCCCCGGCGAATTGGATTTATTTATTACTACTTCAACTTTAGTTTTCTTCTCCTCTTCTGTTCCAAAGACAATGATGATTCACACATAAAATTTTAGAATCTCTTAACTGGCACCAAAGATTGAAGAATAAAAACATTTAACTCCTCCCCCAAGTTCATAGGTTAGCTTCAACCTCCCTCCCATGGCGGAATCAGTGAAACACTACCTTATTGGGCTGAACCTCTTTTCAATTTTGGCCCATTAACAAACATTATCAGTCTCCTTTACACGTGACGTGGCAGAAGCAAGTTTCTTTTAAACGGAGAAAAAGTTTTAAGATTTGTGTCTTTTAGAGTCTATTGGCCAAATTAAAAACTTGATCTTAAACCTCTTAACAAAGATCGATACTGTAAAATATGGAAGATATTCATCATGATTATCAAAATTGCTAAAAGCCACATGAGTTGTTGTGTCTAGAAAAGAAAACAGAAGAAACTCGGAGAGACAAAACATAACTAACCTGAACTGCAACAAAACTCCACAGAGAAAACTGAGTACAGACCAGACTTCAACTGTTTTAACTACTACAAGTGTACTAAGGGACCAATGACCAAACATATTGTGACTGGGAAAAACCAAAGCTTACTAAATCACTGATTCTCAACTTTGTAACTAGACCCACGAACATTATCAGAAACCATAGTAATCTACACCAATTTCAAGAGCAGACTGATGAAATGAGGAACCGAGAGGAAATGGTTTTTGTCTTTGTCCTTTTTAGAGCTGCACTTCTCTGTCATGTATCCAGCTGAAAGGAATCTTGGGTCCTTTCTTGGCTCTTGCTTGAGCTCTCTCATCCAATCTCTTGATTCTTGGAGACAACCCACATAGATAGTCTTGTGCTTTGTTTCCTTCACCAGAAAGCCCTGTTAAGTCCCCAATTTTCCACCTACCAACCAAAAACTCAAGAATGTCTGCGTAGTCTTTGGCAGTGTAAACACCAAGCCTCTGAGCCACGGAGGAGAAGTTGTCAAAGAGGTTGTCGTTGCGACCATCATACATCAAGTGAGCAGGCATTGAGATTTTCTTTCTCATCATGTCCGCAAAAGCCATGACTGTACCATCAGGATCAATCTCAAAGAGCTTCTCAACTATCTTGGTGTAAGCAGTTTCATGACGCTTCTCGTCTGCAGCTATTGTGCCACATATTTGGGCTAATTTGACGTCCCCATGCTCCTTGGCTTGGCGGGCTGTGTTTCCGTGAGAGATGAAGGTCGCTCTTTCTTGGAATGAAGTATAGATGAAGCCAAGGTAGGGATTATTCTCTGTCCGCGGATCCTATGAAAGAGAAGTTAAAGCAATTAGGAAGTTATATAAACAGAGAAATTATGATAATTGGCTGAAACTATCTCACCATTCCGGATCCAATCAAGTACTGAATGGTCTTTTCGATCTGCCGCATGTCAACACGACCAGACAGGTAAAGGTATTTATTTAGAAGATCGCCGTGTCGGTTTTCTTCTGCAGTCCAAGCTCTTGTCCAAATAGCCCAAGAAGTAGGACTAGCCCCTGTTTCATCCCTAACTCCGTCCAAAGTATTCAACATAGTTTGATAGGTTGGAAGAGCTTCTTCTGTGATCATGTCGCCCACTAAAACGACAAAGTAATCATCAGGGAGCTCTCTAGCCCTCTCTCTTAACTCTCTTACCTGATCTTCAAACCCATCTGATGCAGGATCAGGCAAGAAATCCTGGGGTTGCCAAGACTTCTCGACATCCTTGAGATGAATCAGAAGGTTCTCCTCGGCCCAGCTTTCCATAGATTTAAAGATCTCGATCTTTTGAGGTGGCATGGAGTGCAAGACTTGAACATGCACTTCCCTAGGTGGAGTAAATGGCTTCTTCAAACTCTCAACCTCCCTGCATCAACCAAAAAGAAACAGTATCTTCAGCAATTTAGTTAAATCGCCACTGAAATTATCAAGAAAGATCTCAGTTCTGATACACAACAAAAGATAAGCATTCATGTCTAAATTTCCAAATACATTAGTCTATGCGTTCAAGAAAAACATTAGAAATGTTTATCGTAAGACATGATGTTATATTTGCATTCAAAGTCGATCTTCTAGTTCAATGTTCACTTGGCAATGTGAAGCAAAAAAGAAAGATTGCAGGGAGAAACAAAATGTCTTCAAAACAGAATAAGAAGGAAAAAAGAGTGAATAAATTGAAGAAAAGTGTAAAAATTTTGGGACGGAAACAAAAGAGAGAGAGGACACGAAGTAAGCATGCATAGAAGCATGATGTTTGTCTACTCAAGGAAGCCCTGTAAGAAGCGTGATATCCAACGTAATGCCTTTAAAGAAACAAAACAGACGTAAAGTGATACGTTCGAGAATGAGTAAGCAACAACAAGTGGACATGCATTTTCACCAGCAAAAGTGAACTACACAACAACGAAAACGCAATAATCAACCAGATTAAAAAAAATATATATCAGGATTTGACTAAGAGCTATTCATCAATGTCTCTTAACTAATCAAAACATAATTATACAATACAGAAGATAACTAGAACGAGGGTAAAATACATTTAATCTTAACTAACCACCAATCACAGAGCAATCTAAATAATGGTAAAAGCAAAAGATTTGATAGTTGGAGCAATCTGAAGAGAAACGTGAATGAATCTAGAGAATGAATAATAGGGAACAGCCAACAACAACATGAGATTCAAAGTAAACAAGCATTAATGAATCGTCAAAGAACAGAGGATGGCCACATCATTCTTATAAACCCAGATGAAAAGAAAGCACTTTTTATTGAAATCACACTCGAGATTAAGCCAATGTAAGTGAAGAGCACTAAGCTAAATGGAGAAAACTTAGATCCAATATCTAGAAGAAGAAAAACAAGCAAAGCCAATAACAAAGATGAACCAAATCTCTTCGTATAAGTTGGCAGAGAGAAACAAACAAAAGTAGGTAAAGAGGAGAAGAATATGGAGGAAAGAGACTGACTTGGCGCCGGAGCTGATGGCCGGAGAAGATGAAGCGAGGCAGAGGAACTTGGGAGATCTGAAAGAAGAGAAAGGCGGACGAGTCGAGGAAGGGAATTTGTAGGGCTGAGATGCCACCAGAGGGTTAAGCTTAAGAGCCATTCTCGGGATATGAATGAATATGCGTTATTGATACAGAGCTAATTGCTCAATCTCTCAATCTCAATCACTCTCGGTCTGGGGTTTGGCTCTGGCGTTTTTTTCTAAGGTTCAGTTTCGTCCACAGAAAGAGAATGCTTATGAACAGCGTAGAGAGCAAAGGTGCTACTTGTTAAGAGAGAGAGAGATACAGAAATATGAAAACAAATTATTATTATTAATTTAAGGAAAATGGCGTCATATTTTGTGAAAGTTAAAATTAAAAATATGTTTAAAAATATAAAAAAATTTAAATAAATAACTAGGCATCTGTTCTAAAATACCCTTTGAGATGCCTCCCCTTCAAATTCACATTATTGTCTATAGATATTTTTGGTAGAGTATCCATGTCGGTCATAGAAAGAATTGTATCAAATAATTATTTAGTCAACAATGACCACCTTTATTTATTAAACAGTGTAGTACCCAAAAAATAAAGTGGAGTTAGAGGTTGAAGAAATAGAAAAAATTAAGTTGACTATATATGAATGAATAGTTTAAGTTGAAAATATATGAGTTTTGAGCACTTAATAGATGTCAAAAGATGATCATATGATTATTTCGTAGACAATGAGACTCTCATGAATTGTGTGAGTTGTGAAGCCTTCCCTTAGGTACTAAGGATAAATTATTAGATGAGCTTTGTATATACTAAATTAATTTCGGTATTACTAGATCTTAACAAATTGATTAACCATGCAAAGGGGTAAAAAGGTCAATACAAGTCCAAGTGTTATATCTTATTTTATTTTGATTTTTTGTGTAAGTGTTTAAAAAAAACGTACTCGGGGCGTGAGTATCCACGAAAAAGCCAAATAAGTTGAGGGGACAAGTGGCATAAGGTCTCCACGTGGATGTCCCACTTGGCATATGAATGAATACTCTCTATTAAACACCGTACGTTCCTTCTCTTGGGTTTGTATATGGTTTTTTAGGCTTCATTCGATACTTTTCTGCCAAGTTTTAGCACAACGTTTCTCTTCGACCATAGCACAACGTTTTTCATTTACAACCGTGACATTAAAAAGATTACGTGTTTGTATTTCAATAACTATTATATTCACTTTTTCAATAATTAATCTAAAATCAACTATGGCAATTTATTTTGTTTATATATGTTTTAACTTTCTGCATTTTAGCTTAATTCAAAACATGAACAAAGAAAAAACTAGTGGAGTCTTATAAAAATTATAGATCATCAACATATCAAATAGTGAAACAAAAATATTTATATATACTTTTTTCCCAATGAATTAAGTTTTTTTTTCTAAATGGCAACTTCATAAGCATTTGCATATTAACAACGTGGCTAATTGAGACTACTTATTTTTGTTTTGCAATATTTTCTAGTGAATAAATTTCATTTGTTACTACGTAGTATACTTCCTATATGCATCAAATCTATCTCACAAAATCGTCTCATGGATCGTTTTCAAGGTTTTGATCGATGAAGCATCATCTAATATCATCGCTATTAGATCGATTCGTTTATAAAATTACATACTCTATGAACTAGTCATTTAACTAAGCAGTTGATGGATCATAAAATAACCTAAGACTAATTAGTAAAATAGAAGCACTTAAATAAAGGAAAGTTAGGCCAGACAATACTGTAATATTATATATAAAAGAACGAGAAATAGTCGACCCTGCATTCATTTTTAGACATAACCATGACAATCTTGTTTATGGAAAATATTTTATATAACAAACCTCCACAATAGTATAACAGCACATAGTTAGATGACAAGAACTAAAACATTAGAGCAACAATATTACTCTTTAGTGTAAATCTTATCTCTAAGATTTTACCAATAATGTTAGTTTTAGTAAGTGGATCGATTGAGAGTTGTACAGAAAAAAAGATCGGAGAAGAAGCTAAAAGACGGAGAGTGTAGCGAGTAACAAACTTTTATTATAGTGTATATTACAAAGCTTAAGTGTAAAATGAAATGTATTCTAAAGTATATACATATACACTTCCGCATTC